CAAACAAGGGGTCCCCGTCCACGTCTCATTGGTCCACTTTGTCTGTGTCAGTTGGGGTCTCTTTTTATTCTTTTTATTTGCTCTCTTTATGTCACTCTTCTGAGGTTGAGTTGTGACGGAGATCCAGTCACAAAGTGAGAAGTGTAAATTATCCCACCGGCGGGCCCCGTAAGAACGAGAAGAACGACTGTCTCGGTGAGGCGCAGCTTACCTTAATTTTACGCCTATTTTGCTCTTTCTGTTTTTTGACAGATGACAACTGTTGGGATGTTATGTCTTTTTGTCTCAGAGTACTGTTTATTCAACACGATTCCCCGTTTTTAAAACTTTTGTCCATTGTATTTTGTCCATTGTATAATACGCCGGTTACAAATACTAAACGTCCGCGGAGAATACGCTTCGATATAACTCTTACTACAGGGGCTGATTTCCAGGAGGTTTTGGGATATCCTCAGAGAATTCTACAATAGGTTCAAATGACATGGCATATCCGACACGGTACTGTTAAAACACACAAAAGTCCACCTGGCGGCACGAGTACACATAATCAGTGCCCTCCCCTTCCCCCATTTTGCCGATCTTTTTTGTCCGTCAGGGACGATGGATTCTCTCGGTTTCATCTCGTATGCCGCGCGGCGCGTCACCGTTTTCGTTGGTCCAAGCGGGCATGATGAACCTGCAAACTAGCGGCCGGCAACGGTCACCGCTGTCAAAATGCTTCCGGCAGGTTGACCGTGCTTAGCGTGCCGCGGGTTTGGTAGGTAGATGGGTAAGGTGGTAGGCTACATTTACCCGCTTGGGATGTATCGTGTAGGGGGATCTGCCGATCTTTGGGCCGTGTTTTCCGCCCTTTCTTTGCGGTTTTGGCGTGTCGTTGCTGTGTCTGTGGCAAGAGTGTTTTGCGACGGGCTTGATAATCAAAATGTGCGGTGCAGCTTGCAGGAATCACATGAAGACCTTGGAAGTTTCTTTAGAGATATGGATGCGAGTAAGTGTATCTGCGAAGGCCAAGCGAAAGTTTGGCCGTGGACTGTAGGACTAGGAAAATAATGTACGCTGAATAATTGGTTAGACGCGTTACTCAGTAACTGCACATAGAACAATACTGTTTTTAACTGCGTTTACAACCACAGTTTTTACCTTTTTAAAGAAGTAAGTTTCGGTATAAAGAGCTCCAACTTTATCAACCTCTACCTCTACCTCTATACATTCCCTAAGTATAGTTGCGTGTCTTTAACCGTAAAAGCGTATAGTCGTGTCAAAGAGATAAAATGTGCAAAACGGCACTTGTGCAAAGTTCAACACATCAGTTCATATTACCAAAAAAACGCCACAACACCGACATCAAACGAACCTGCCCAGTGATGTCATATCGCGCACGTTTGGACAATTCGGGCGCCCTTACGATGAAGCTGATAAATCAAACGGATAGACGGGGTTCTCATTTTCCGTTCATCAGCCGAACTTGCGCGATCAGACACTTCGACAAGGCGCGCCGTTTACCAACTTAACCTCCTAGCGCCGCCTGGGCAACCAGGCGTAGTCTAACCAAGGCGAACAGGCTTAAGGTGACGTTGTCAGGCCTTCGTTCGATTTACGGATTTATACACCCGGGCAGCTAACTTGGACATCACTAACGGTTATGGGTCAAATGCGAGCCATACATATCATGATCAAACACATGAATAGCGAATAAGAGCGAGACTGGCGAGTTAAGTATTACGACGACGCTGGCCAGGCCTACGAATCCGTAACCTGGCTGTAGCTCTTTTTTATTTTGAATTCTTACCAACACCTCCTGCATCCCATCAACCTGTATATAGACCATCATGTTTGAAGATCCGAGTGTTGGGATGGAGCCAAGTCTCCTGTCGTTAGCTTGTTTGGGAAAAAAAACACGCAAGTAAAGCCGAATCGACACCTACAAGGTACATTCCGTCAGCGCAAGGTGCACTAACCGCCGTGGATCTTACCCTCCCCAAATCGGGTGCCGCTCGCCTGCATTCGCCCTCCTGAGACTCTTGGGCCCATTGTGCCCCCCCCCCTCCATCCCCCCCTCCCCCTGTACAATCGCCAATTCTTCCCCTTGGGACAATCAATTGGCTACCGCTTATTCCCCTGCTGAGTCCCCAGCTATCAGGCCTGCCATGCTTAGCAGCCGCCTGTTATTCCCGTCAAAGTCTCTGTTTGAGTTGGTCCCCTGTCCAGCTGGCGGGGATCTGCAGGGGGCGGTAGGGTAAACTTGCCCCAGAGTCGAGAGACAGAATTTGGGTTATCTTGGCGAGGGGGAGTCTCCAATCGTTCTGGGAAGGTTTAGGAGAGATTCTGAGAGATGATACTACGTTGTTCGTTGGGAGGTCTGTCGCGAAATCCTTCCCCCGCCCCCCCGTCTGCTCTGTTCAGGGAGTGGTGGGATTTAACCTCATTTACGAATACTACCTAGTATTATTTCCTGTCTGGCGATGACCTCCTATTTGGCTTGCCAAGATTGCCAAAAGTTCACGTTTTTTTCTCGGCAGCAGAATCATACCAACAACTCCAGGGTGGTCTTTGTTTAGTCGGCTTCTTGGTATTGGTTTGACTAGACCTTTGGTACGTGCTATAGACGCTGGCCAAGACCCGAAATTGTCTGGTTCATCTTATTCTATTGGAGCGATTTACTACATTGTTAGAATGCCAAGTTCTTGGTTTGCAGTTTCAGCGCCCTTGATGAGCATGTCCCTTCAAAGCTTCGCCCATAAAAATGGATCTTTTCTGTGGTTCTCTAGACACACCTAGCAGTATCAATTTTTGTTTTTGTTGTTGTTTTTTTATGTCGTATTTTCTCCCAGCCAGTGGCTACACGCCAAACCGTTTGACGTCCCGCCTCTTCTGGTAACGGCATCTCAGCCTCAACCAGCGAGTACGCGTCTTGTTTCCCCATCAAGTCCGTCCTCCAACTTCAGGTTCTCTAGCGAAAGTGGCCAGCGTATCATCAGGTCTTGAATCCTTGGACGGCAACCTGCCGTAAAACTTACTCTATGCGGAAGTACAGTGGAGACCCGGAGAGCAGCAAGAGGCGAAAAAGGCGAGCGGGCGGTTAACGTTGCAGCAGTGACCTTTCCACCCCCCCCGTCTGTGGCCCCCTCCTTTAATCCCACAACGGCCATGGTACTGCGTCCTTTCGGTAAACCAAAGAGAATAGAGTCGTGCTGACTGAAGCCGCACGCACAGGCTCAGGAGTCGCATCCTTGGCGGAGACCGCTGGTTTGGGACGCGCAAGCGAAGAAGGAGACCGTTGGGCAATAGATTAACGCCGTCGAATAGTCATTTCAAATGTTTCTTCTGTTCATGGATTACACTTACGGCGTCTGTGTGGACTTATGCCCGGGAAGGGACGTTCAAAGATGTGTGTTCGTGCTCCGCTAAAGAAGCGCAAGATCTTGACGGCATGGATCAAAGAGCAGATAACCGTCAGAGGGCAGGTTGAACCGAGGGGAACCCAGTTGCTAAGCATCGCAGCTTACTCCGAGTCTGTCGTGGTTCTCCCCCCCCCCTCCCCCGGTCCTAGGTGGCCCCATTTCCACCAGCAATCGAGCGATGTCCGTCTGCCTCGGAGAAAAAAATCTTCAATATTGGCACCGCATCTTTATTGTTGAACCCGCCGTACCTGAGATTCGGAGATGCTAAGATATAGCAAACACACCCGAAATGAAGTGGATGCGAGGGATGACGACGGGGGGAGGAGGACGCACGCGGCGGCTTTGCACTGCCTCAACTCCCAATCTCCATGTGTCGGGCCTGGTCCACCCCCCGTTGGTCGAGCGGCTTTACAGATGAACGCCCCGTAAGACCAGGCAGGAAAAGAACCATTCCCCTTGACAGGGGAGAGGCGAGTGAACCCAATATTCTTTTGTTTCCTTGATACAGGTTGTGTATGTCCACTTGGTAAGGTGGTCTTTGAAGCTTATGAAATGGCTACATAATTCAACGCGCGGATAAGATTGAAACACTGGGCCAACTGGGTCACCGGATTTTCCGGTTAAGTGGGATGCCTGTACACTACACCCTTCATCCACCCTCGACACGCAACATTCGCAAGCGATCACCGCCAAGGAGTGGCGCGCCCCCAGGTGAACCAATGTCTACCTCTTGATATCCCCTCATCCCAAGGCTGGAGGAGCCAACGAGTCCTCATTTTGGTCGGCGCGGCGAACTGGGGGCCCGGCGCCGGGCTCAAGCTACGGCCCGGTGGGGGTGGAGACGCAGGTGGCTTGATCGTGGTCCCAGAACGGCGCCGGACTCGTCACTTCTGAGCTTACGCGCGTCTTGTCAAACCCGGTTGGTTATATTCCCCTTCTCTCACTCTCCCTGCGCTAGTTCCGTAGGTTATTTGAGGGTACCGCAGATGAGGGGGGGAAACGTATAGGCTTGTCGTTCTTGGGGGCGAGATGTCCGGCGCTAAGCGCAGCTACTTAATTCCCGTCGGGGGTTTTTTACTACATTGACGGTTCGCCGTGGATACGGTTGATAAGTAGCTGGGTAAGGTTCACCTTCCGCGTGGCTCTAAATCTACTTGGACTGCGACACATGGATGGGGTCCAGGGTTGATGAAGGTATCCGATCTGTCTGAACCTCAACGATGCGGTTGCATCCCACGTCCAGGCGGAAGGTTACATAGTGTCGCGCAGGTTGCCCAAAGGGCATGAATTCGCGACACCTTATTGTTTAGCGGCGAGATGGAGCTAAATATAGAGGGCATGTTTAGACGAGACATCTTGCGTACGGGTGAGGATTTAGTTGGTTTGTGCGTTGTGTCTTGAGGGGATGACAGGGACCACAAACGTCCAAGAGGGAATGTGTCCGTAGCAACGAGGGCCGCGAGGAAGAAGCCGAAATCTTGTCGACGTGGTTGTGGGCAATTCGCATTTGTGCGTCAGCAGTTGGGACGGAGTATGTAGGCGATTTCCTGAGACGACCGTTGCTCGGCACGGGCTTCCCAGCTTACTCTAAATTTTAAGATGTTCATGTCTCGGCCCAAGAGACCCGAAATGGGTGGTCAAGTAAGTTTGCGATGCTTCGCCTTAAGTCTCTTTACACTTCTTGGGCTAAAAGGCAGACCTAAACCTAGGTTTGCCCAAAGTTGCGCGAACTAGTGCCTTGTTTGGTGAGAGTTTCCGTCTGGAGAAACACGCCATCAACGCACGGAGTAACACACGCGCACACACACACACACTCCTAAGCAAGCAGTTTGGTAGTTCAGCCCAGTCCGTACCTCCGCAAACGTCTTGACATTGGGTTTCTGCCGAGGCCAATCTTTAATTTAGTTGGTAGCCTTTGCTGACGACCTGGGAGTTGTGACTTTGCCCGAGAGTTTCGAGTTTAACAAATGGAATGCATTCAACTGGAACTGTTGCGATAGTTGGAATACGGAGTCGTGTGGCACTTCCAGCCACACGCCCGCCAGGCTGAGAGGCCCAAGCCTCCCAGACCCACGTGACAGGCCAAGGGGGAATATCCCCACCTTCTAGTCAACAACACTACTTTCAACTATCATAAACTATCGATTAGAACTAATTTACTATTATTTGTTATTAACGAACGGAATTCCGTTTTACCCCTTGTGAAACCTATACTGATTAGTAGTAAACCTTATAGTTGCTATTAATTTGGTTAATTTTACAATTACTACTCTGCTACGGACAAACCGCAGATCAGCAAGGTTAATACTAGAAGAGACGACTTCTTGAACTAGATACCCAAGCCTAGGTAAAAGTAAGGATTTCGTACTAACGAGAGAAGAAGCGAGAGTAACTAGGATCTACGGAAACTAGTAGAAGAAAGCTTCTTTTCCTCGAATCTACTAGTAATCCGATTATTCGAGTAACCTAGGGACTGCTATGCTTACCCTAGGCGGGATAAGGTTAATCGCAGCTAATTATTGCTAGCAAGAGCGTTCTATTACGCGTTTTCAATCACTAGAAGAAGAGACCTACCGAATCGACGGTCCTCCAACCTCTTTACGTTATAAAGGCGAAGATTCACGAATCTTATAAAGGATAACAACTTCCCTAACTATAACTATCCCCTACGTACGGTACTAATTACGAAGCGCCTACTAGTTTCTTAATAAATCCCTAGATAAGGTGCTAACCGTAAGGCGCTTGCTATAAAAGACCTCCCTACTAGAAGAAGAATACGCCGAAAGGCAAGCAAAGACTACTAGTAGTAATCCGCCTATATAGCTATACGTATATACCTCCGAGGCTACGGCTTAAGAGAAACGCACGTAGTTATAGGCGTTATAAGGCTAACTATCTGCTAGATTCTAAACTTCCTAATAGTAAGGAGCGAAGCCTGAAGTAAGAAAGAGAGATTTACGAGAGAATCTACGGTAGAACTCTCTCCCTATCAATTCGAGACCTATATATACCCTTATACCCCTCGAGAATATTAGCAAGAATAGCGCCGACGGAAATAAACGATAAACCGACGAAAATCACCGATTTTATAATTCTTTCCCCTTAGAATCAATTTAAGATTCTGAATAGAAGTAATCCTTTTATACTATTAGAATAAAGCGAAATTTACGAGAAGGATCGCTTGCAAGTAGCGTTACTACTAAAAGCTAATTAACAGTCCCTATCTTATAGAGAATCGAAAGTATAATCGATCTAGCAGTATAAGGCAACTAGGCAATCGACCTTACAAACGCTAGCCTATAGCAACTAGGTTCCTATATAGGTTTCCTACTTAAGACCTATAAGAAGAGGAATCTTACAAGCCTCGAGCTATAGAACGAAGTTTCTCCCGATTTCGCCGACTAGTTAGAAGAAGACTTCTAGAACATACCTCCCCTAATCCTACGATTCTTTAAAGACTATTTAATTAGTAATAGCGTCTACGTCGAAATAGATAGTAAGAAAATCTCGAAAAACGTAGCATTAGCCTTTAAAAAGGAAGAATTCTACTACTAGTCACCTTAAGAACTTGTTAGAAGTATAAGTATATTATACTTCTATTTTACTTATTTATCCTATTTAGTCTTATCTAAGACTTAGTAGGACTTACAAAAGTAACTAGCTAAGAATGGCTGCTTGCTAGTTTAAACATATGATATTCAGATCCCTATGGAATACTCTCTTTAACCTTATCTAAAAGTCTATTTAGTTAAAGAAGATTCTAGTCTGATTTATAAGCTGCTTTATAAGCTAGTTGACGTATATACTTACGTATACTAAACCTAGCTTATAGCTTCCTATATTAGCTATTATAGGCGACGTTATACTACTATATAACTAGCCTAATTCTCTCCCTTAGCTAGCTATTAGTTCCTCAACCAACTCAGCTTCAATATAAGCCTATACATTCTTTACTATTAAAGCCCTACTTCATAAGTACAAGTTCCCTTACTCTAATACCCTGTTATAAGGATATCGTACTACCTACGAGATTCCTACCTACCGTTCCAACACTATATATTCTTGCCTTAGCTATATATTCTAGATATCGATATGCTATAGTCTTATTAAGATAAGTTTCCCTTCGTCTACGATAAGTCGTATAGTTTGTTTATTATCGTAATATATTTTCTAAACGTCTCTAAGGTTAAGAAGTACGTCCTTAAATAGCCTTTTAAGCGCTATCGTTTCTTTTGCTATATGTTTAAGGCTTAGGAGCTTTACTTCCGTAGTTAACGTTATGATAGTGTTTTGCTAAGCTGCTTTCTACTAAATTAGCCTTCCGAAGAGGAAGATAATATATCTTTAAGACGATCGCCTTATCTCTTCGTCGTCTATAAACGAAGCGTTACTTGCTATTAGAAGAACTTATCTACCCTCCGTTCCTCCGAAGTAGATTGCTAAGTACCTTATTCTATATAGGTATCGAATCGTCTAGTTTATTACGGCAAGGTGCTTTAGAGACGGGTTTATTAGGTAACGTAATAGCTATACGACTGCGAAAGCTATATCTAGTCGTATTATGATCGCTATATATAGTACTAAACCGACTTTCTCTTAGAACTTTTTTACTTCTACTTTCGTAGCAGTCCCTAAGTTTAGTTTAAATAAGATCGTTAGTAGCGGTATCGTTAGCATAAGGGGATCCGTAAGCGTAAATCGCGACGTTACCTTTTCGATATATTAATTATAGACGAGGTAGATTTTCTTTTCGATATAGTCTCTTACGATTCTAATTCCGAGGTATTATTCTACGTTCCCTTCGTCTTTTATCTCGTATATCGCTTTAAGGTTAGATATTAGGTCTTCGCCTACCGTCTCGTCTAATTTATAATATAAGACAAGTATATCGTCGACGTAGAAGAGTAGGATTACCCTCCTATCTTCGGATCTAAATAAGTACTTGTCTTTACTTAACAATCTTATTCCGAGACGTTATAAAGTCTTTAAGAACTCTTTATACTAGAGGAGAAAGGTGTTTTGCAAGCCGTATAGGGCGTAAGTTAGTTCTATATACTTTCCTAGTTATTTAAAGCCGTCTAGAAGTTTATATATAACGGGGTCGTCCCCCGGGTTGCGTTTAGCATTAAGGAACGCGTTGACGACGTTAAGTTGTCTTATCTTAAGGTCGAATTAGGTAGCGATAGCAATAGCTATTTAAAACGTTTATATAGCTAGAGTCGCTATATATATTTATTTAAAAAGGTTTACCTTTTATAGGTTACCTCTTATATAGATTCTAGCCTTATATCGGTTTAAGTAGCTATCCTAATTAAATTTATATATAAATACCTACTTAAGAGGTAATAGTCTTACGTAGGTTTCTAAGCGATCGATTACCTTTTAAGTACCTTTCTACGCGAGTTTAGATATCTCTATATAGGTAGCGTCGTAGAATATAGTTTTTAGCGGTTTTAGTAAACGATTTAACTTATTTTATAATTTCGGCAGCGTAATAAGGTCGTCTATATAGTATCTTGTCTTTAGTAATATTATTAGGTAAGTATGCTTTATATAGTAAATAGAACTTTAAAAGATATAGTATAGAGTCTTATGTCTATAGTCTTTTTCTTCCTCGGCTTTCTATTAATTAGGTATAAAAGTCGTATAGAATTCGTATATATATCGTCTTCGTACGGCATGCCTTTCTCCGTCTTTATTTTCTAAAGGTAGGTTTTATACTTTTCGACTTTGTTATATTAGTTAGCTATAATCTCGGCAGGGTTTTGTCTACCTCGATTCCGTCGGGTTGTTTGCCTTTCTAATTATCGTATATAGCCTTATAAGTCTAGGTTGTAAGTCGTTACCCGATCGTATATCCGTAAAGGCTTTTTCGTCCTCCTCGGTCCTGACGTATATTACGTCTTCTACGTCTGATACGGCTATAGCGGTGTCTTGCTTAGTAGAGGGTTCTAGCAACGGTATAGTGCTTGAATCCCCGGTCTTAGACGTCGGTCTTCCGGAGTCGGGTATGCTTTCCGGCTCTAGGGTCGGGTCTAGCGTTAGCAACCACCTTTCGTCCTTTTCCTAGCCTATCTCTTCCGTCGGCACGACGTCTCGTATCGCTTCTTAATTAGGTTCTAAGACGGCTAGTAGTAGTTAAGTAGCCTAGATTAACGTCTACTTTGCTAAATCTATAACTCCTAGTACTTCGAGGATTAGGTTAAGAGATGACTTTGTTTCCCGAATCTCTTTTACTATTTAGGTAGCTATTAACGTTTTAGGTTTAGTATCGACGTCGTCTAGTAAGTAAAAACGATTCTTATTAAACATTACGTTTCTTATAATAATTACTTAGCTAAGCAAGGGTACCTAGATCCTATATAGATTATAGGCGTTTAATACGTATCTTACTAAGTATCCGACGTGCTTTCGAGGCTTTACTTTGAATGTTTGCTTATAGATTCCTCTTTCGCGGTCGCTTTTAAGTAGGTATGCCTTATAACCGTAAGCGTAAATCTACCCTTAGTACGGACGGAGGTTTTATATATAGTCTAGAATAAGCTCCGGTATCTACTAGCGAGAATATTAACGAAACTACTTATCCTCCGTCTAGCAGGGGGATTTCTAGCCGTTCCTTTTCCGTAGGCTGATATTATAAAGGTAGGCCGCGGCCTTTACTACTTCTACCTAGAGGTCGGTCGGTAGGTTAGCTCCGGAGAGTATCTTAATTAACTTTATAATGATTTCCTAACCGGCTTATTCCCCTACGCCTACTAGCTCTTTTATATATAGCGGTAGAAGCTCGATTTTAATCCCTTTTTATACTGCCTACGTTTAGAAAGCTGTTTCTCCGTTAATTGCGATTACTACGCGCTTGATGTCTTGTCGTATCTTGCATATAGAAAGACCCTTCTATCTTTTTACCTATTTCTTAAATAAAGTTAGAGTCTCTAGTACTTATAGGAGGGTCTTATCTAAGAGTAGAAACGCGAAGTAGCGTCCCGAGTATTCGTCTTTAATTACTAGTATCTATTTGCTATTATCAAACCTTAATAGGTAGTTAAATAGATCTTACGCGATACGGTAGTATAGTCTCGTCGCTTTTCGCTTTGAAGTTCGTCTTAAAACTACCGTTTTAGTATAAGTCGTTACGTAGTATTTGCATTTAATCCTTTCTAGCGCCTTGATTCTTACCCCCCGAGCGGCTTTAACTAGTCGCTTAAGTACTTCCGGACCGAGGTATCCGGAGCGGCGGTGCTATAGTTCGGCTCTGTCTATCTTTTCGCTACGTATCTCGTATAATTACTTCTTACAGCTTTATACTTTATACTCGAACGCTAGGATTCTAGCGTTACTTATAGGGATTTTGCTATAGTACGAGGAATAGGGTTTATATTTAAGGAAGACTAGGTTCGCCTTGCGGAGGAGTTGTTTAACTATAGCGCTTTTCTTATAGGTTCCGAAGCGAAGTATATAGTCTAATCCGGAGTATTATATACCTGTCTTGCATAGCCTTGCTTTAGAGACGACGTTAACGTAGAAATTTTCGACGTAATAGACTTCTTCTAAGGTAAGGTCTTTAGTATTTAGTCCCTTCGGCCTATTTAGGATATTCTTAAGCACCTTTTTCCCCTTTCCTAGGATTAGAAACGATATCGTTCCCGACTTTATTCTTTTATTATAAACAACCTTCGTATATAAACCTAGTTCTAAGAGGTCGAGGTTGTTTACGAGATAGGTTATACCGTAATTATCTATTACTATGCTATTTAATAGTAAGTATAGACCTAGGAATAAGGTTAAGAAGATCCTAGGGGTTAGGTCTTCTCTCTTTATAGTTTCTATAAGAAGTAAGGGATCGATATTAACTATATTAATTAATCTAGGATAATTCGGCTAGTCTTAGTCGCTTTACTTACTGCTTTCGCCTCGTAGCCCTCCTCGGGTATATCGGCTATTCGCGCGGAGCTATCCCTTTCTTATAAGAATAGCCCGAAGGTTACTCTAGGGGTTAGAATCGAGTTAGTCTCTTATTAAGGTTACTTCCTTTTCTAAGAAGGATACGTATTTAAGTATTATTCTCCCTTTTACTATAAGTTCTACCTTCGCGTATTTCGCTATAAGCTACTTATAGGTTTCGTTATAAAGGCATAACTTATTTCCTTTCTACTTATTCGGTATAGCTTTATTCGATTTATTATTTGTTATATCCTCTACGGAGTAACCCCCTAATATAGTATAGATTCCGGTGGTTTTGTTCCGACTTTTCTTATAAAGGTTATCTTTATAAAGCAGGTCTGCGAGAATTTCTCTATATTTACCTAGGCTATAAATCTTCTCTCCGGAGCGTTCTCGTATAATAATCTACGTAAGCTCTAAAGTCGCCTAAGTCGGTATAAATCTTTATCTTACTACTCTAAGGAACGCCTTTATAGCTAGACTTCCCTATACTTCGGGTATCTAGTATTCTATTCTACGAAGGTAAGCTTTATACTATTTTATAAGCTATACGGCTAGAGAAATGCTTATATTCGCTTTTGATAGTATAGCGTTTGTTGGAACGGTAGGTAGGAATCTCGTAGGTAGTACGATATCCTTATAACAGGGTATTAGAGTAAGGGAACTTGTACTTATGAAGTAGGGCTTTAATAGTAAAGAATGTATAGGCTTATATTGAAGCTGAGTTGGTTGAGGAACTAATAGCTAGCTAAGGGAGAGAATTAGGCTAGTTATATAGTAGTATAACGTCGCCTATAATAGCTAATATAGGAAGCTATAAGCTAGGTTTAGTATACGTAAGTATATACGTCAACTAGCTTATAAAGCAGCTTATAAATCAGACTAGAATCTTCTTTAACTAAATAGACTTTTAGATAAGGTTAAAGAGAGTATTCCATAGGGATCTGAATATCATATGTTTAAACTAGCAAGCAGCCATTCTTAGCTAGTTACTTTTGTAAGTCCTACTAAGTCTTAGATAAGACTAAATAGGATAAATAAGTAAAATAGAAGTATAATATACTTATACTTCTAACACGTTATATTCTTCTCGTATAGTTATTAACATACTTATCTCGTTTGGGGTATATTTATGTTTAAGAATAGTAATTAAGTTCTAAAGGTTAATTTTATTCGTCTTAAAGAGTTCTATATAGGCTAATACTAATAGCGCTTAGTTAACTATAGCAAAGACCTAAGAGTTAATAAGTTTATATACTCTTTCTTATTTCGTAAGGCTTCCTTGTTATGCTACTTAGTATCTTAGCTAAGCAGCATACTTATCGAAAATCCCTAGTATCTGCTTTATTACTAGGTTTAGAAGAGATAGCCGTTCTCTTAATAGTACTTAGGAGACGATATCGTCCTAAGTATTCGTTTTAAAGGCTTTATAGCGTACGGTCTAGGTTTTAAGTTGTTTCTTATAGTCTTTTTATAGTTAATAGTTCTACTTCTTAATAAAGACTTTAGGCGTAGGGAGTTCCTCCGGTTTTAGAATTTTATTTAAACCTTTTTCGTCTAGATTAATATATTTCTAAACGTCTTTCGCTTAGGCAAGATACTAAAGCATGCTATATTATTATAGCTAGTTACGTCTACTTATAAGCTTAACCGTCGTATCTAAAGACACTTTCGATAAGTACTTAGTCGTTATAGTTCGTTCCTTAGTAAAGCTAGAAATCGGTTTCGTTCTTTCCTCTACTTTACATAGTAGTCAGGGTTTGTCTTAGGTTAAAGCTAGGCTTATAACTATAGTAAAGCAAAGTGCTAAACGTAGGTATATATTTAAAATAGTAGATTGAGTAGCTTGTCTTCTCCTAACTATACTATGGAACGATATCGTACCTAAATATGTTTTGTAGGCGAAGCGGAATAAAGATATTCCGGTCATTCCATTTCGGGATTATCCTTATAGGCGATATGTAGGTCACGTGATGGTGAGGCTGCGCACTTCGCCTCGAAGGCATCACGACACTATTTATTAATTAAGCGACGATCTTCAATCCCGTTAACAGGCCTTCTCTCAACTCCGCACGTCATTGGCAGTGCAACGTGATATTTAAGTTTAATGAAGTGTAATGCTTCATTTTTGTGCAACTGCGAGAACTATTTTCAGACTCTGTAGGCATTTTCAGTTCATCGAGAAGTAGACACCTAGACTCTCTAAGTGCTAAAAAACAGCTTCATTAAAAATGGAACAAGTGCCAGTCCATAGCTTTGCAGTAGGCCACACCGCTCGTCCCAAGCCATTTGCGTACACAAACTTTGCTAGCCTTTGGGCTGCTGTCTCTCGTTATGATGCACTTTCATTCAGTTCTCAGCCTATTGAGCTTATGCTTACTATGCGCCTCCTCTCTCGCAGCCCCTGAGGCACGACAGCTTGCTGCACAACCGGCTGATGTACAAACCTACTTCGATCTCGATGGCCCTGCAAACGAAATAAAGGTGGAAGAACTCAAGAAGTCTGGCTACCGCATAATCTCACTCAGTTCTTACGGAACCCCTCCCCACCACAGATATGCCACAGTCTGGGTAAAGCGGGAGGGTAGCCCATTCATTACAATTTTTGGCGCGGACGCAATAACGTACAGTAGATGGATGGAGGCATGGCGATATAGAGGCTATGTCTCGACACATATTTCCGTCACTGGGCCTGCTGAGAGCGCCGTCTATGCTGGAGTAATGGAGAAGACGAATGTCGGCAGATGGAGGCAAAGCTGTGACTTGACAGATCCAGAAGCCTTTCATACAGGACGCAACCTTCGAATGATCCTTAAGGATCTCAGCACCTATGGTACGCCCACGGATCGCCGCTACTGCGTTATTGTTCACGAGAACATCGGCAATGAGATGGAGTCCATCTTCTATGTCACAAATGGGCCGTCAGGGTTTACCGACATCTACGACTCTGAGCTGACCAAGACCTTCTGGCGGCCGGCGCACCTTTTCGTATCCGATGACCATGTCATTGCCCCTCATTTTAGAGGCGACTCGGTGGGCGAGTGGGTAGCAAAAACCAATCTGGATGCAAAACAACTAGCTGCCGAGATTGAATCACAAAAAAGCCAAGGTCGTCTTTACCCGATTCATCTCGAGGGGGGAGGGGCTGGAAACGACGTCAAGTTTTCAGTCATCTTTGCCGAAAACGACATCCCTGAGGCCCGTAAATGGACCGTGACCGGCAACGGAGGCCTCGAGCCGAAGACCACTGAGAAGCTAGACTCTATTATGAAGGGCTGGATGCAAAAGAATGGTGTACGCCAGGCCCAAGTTGCCGCCGCCATCGAGGGCGAGATCATCACAGAGCGTGGCTATACGTGGGCAGAGAGTAATCGTGCCATTGTCCAGCCGGATGATGTTTTCCTCATGGCTAGTATCAGTAAAATGTTTGCCCATGCTGCTGCTTACAACCTGATCCAGGCTGGGAAACTGGACTACTCGACACGCGTCCTCCCTCTCCTAGGTTATAACCAGCCTAAAGATCCCCGAGCCCTCGACATTACAATCAACCATCTTCTCACGCATTCCACGGGCTCTGATCGTGACATATCTGGTGATACTGGCTTCCTATTTCGAAATGCTTCTGAATTGTTGTATAACGGCGAGCGTCCTGCAAACCTCCGCGACATGATAGAGTACCAACTTACGAAAGAGCTCGACTTTAATCCTGGAGAGAGGTTCTCTTATACTAACTACGGCTTCATGCTCTTAAGTTATGTTGTGAGTAACATCACCGAAAAGCCGTACTTTGAGTTTTTGAAGGAGAACATCTTTGGGGGGCTGGACATTCGCGTCTATGAGACGGACGCGAAGAAGCATGTTGGTGATCGCATCACTCAAGACACTCAACTTACAGGACTCTCCGGCCTAAACCCAAAGTCGTCTCAGAATGTGTCCATGGTTTTCGGCGGCGACGGCGCCATCAAGGAGGAGTGTGACGGAACATTTTCGCTCGCAGCGAGTGCGAGCAGCATCGCGAAGTTCATTGGCAGCCATGCCGTTTGGGGTACTGGAGGGCGGGCAGTAGGGAAACGCCAAGGAACGCTGCCAGGAGCGAGAGCCTTTGTCGCGTCAGAACCGAATGGTATTGACTGGGTTGTAATCACCAACACACGAGACTTTGTCACCCCTCAAGAGGTATTGGACCTGAGGTTCAAGATGTTGGCGCCCTTGTTTGGAACGTCGGATTCCTGTTTCTCTTGGCTTCGCAGGTTGTGTTCCGCCTCTTGAATCTGATATAATTTTACGGCATAATGCGGATCAAAGTAAGAGATTCTGAACCCGAGTTACTAGAAATAGAATCCATGGAATGTTGTCTTGGCCCCCACAACGTCCCTTCGTCCCTTCTCTGATCCAAAGAACAGCTCGAGTATAATATCACATCTACCTGGTAGCGTACGAGCTCCGGACGTTGGTGCAGCTTTTGATTCAGAGATAGCCTCCTGAAAGGCTTGAGAGCCTGTCATGAGATTGTATGAGCTGGTGTTAGAACTCCATAGAATTGATTCTGGACATAATCAATAATAGCTAATTATCTTATATCCCCATCTAGATATTCGATGTTTCCGAATCATGGCTCGCCGTGGTTGATGTGTGAATTTACGCCAAGCCGTATACTTCTTTGGTGAAAACGCCATGGAAAGTAATTGTCACATCGACGTAGAAGGGAATATTTAGTAGGAGAGTAACTCAAGTGATTATCTCCAGATTACCCCTAATCTGCGGTCGAAACAGCGTGTATGTTTCTACTGGCGGCAGCGATGGCTTCGTATGAATGTCTTGTTCGACCATGAACCGATCGCTTAGCCGTTGATGGGCTTATAAGCCTTCTGGCTTCCAAGGGCTGCAACGGCATAGCTCAGTATGGGCATTCCGAAGAGCCAAACAGGACGTAACGCTGAGAAATCAATACTCCTGCAACAGAAGCTAAGTGGTACATACATCGTTCCTGGCAGGTTTGCAGCCTGTCACCTCGGAATGAATGGGCTCGAATTACTCGTTCGGGCATTTCTCAGGCGTGAGAGCCACAGCTGCAGAGGCCTTGTGTATACCTGTAGTGGCAGTCAGGCCAGGCATGAGTGCCATGTATCTCTCATTGGCAGCTATACTATTCCACATGATGCTTCCATCTCCATATCGAGAATGATGAAGTTCGGGCGATAATCACGATGCAGGACAAGGAGTTGAGCCAACCCAATAACCCGCTTTGCAATAAGACAGGCATCGCGAGGATTGCTGCCATTGATGTGACAGATTGACCCGAAAATTAAGCATTCGATATCCCCAAGGGAGTGAACGAGCTCCATATTGGTTATGGCACAGGAGGCGACATCAAGAAGACCTTTCAACACGTAGCGGTCGGACTACCAATATCTAGTTGATGGACATTATTTGTGAGCATATGAAGTTTCTGAGACCGTTGGCGAGATACAATAGAGTCTTGGAAAGAAGCACTGGGCGGCTTGAAGGGCCAGGCAGTCAATACAGATAGCATTGATGCAGACCGCATGTTACCGCAGAAGAGATCTCAATAGGGTAACCTGAAGAACTAAAGAAAGGCAAAAGTGCCTCCAGGCGAGGTTATCAATTTTGGCAATTTGTTCGGATGGCAGAGCGGAATGAAACATTTGACGGAGGCCATGGGGTTGAGCGTCGTTTGTTGATGGAGTTTGGCTTCGGATGACGTCTTCTTGCAAATGAATACCTTCGTCGACTATTTGTCCCATTAGTGAACCGTGTAGTTTAAGGGACAATAATGATGTAACATAACGCAGTCGAAGACTCTTGTGCTAGTATAACACAAAGTATTTATATACTCGGATTTGGGTAAAGGCTCTGTAGACGGTTGAGCGACCACTTGAACATCTGATTGAGTTCATTGCCACCTTTGCGATTCAGGCGTCGGACGCCATGTCCCTGGAGTCCAACGAGAAGTGGCTTTCACTATTCTCTTGGGCATCTTCTCGATTTATATGATCTTTTCTTCCTTCTCTTGATGCTTGCCAAGGCATGCTGGTCAATATTCGCACCGTCGTAATCTTGGGTTTAACATGCGGCTTCTCGTCGTTTGCGGTCTCCGCAGACCTCATGGGATAATGAAGCGAATGGGCACCGTACCTTTCGTCTTTTGCCTAGACGATGATGATTAGCATGAGTCTTGAAGTTGGTCTGTTAAAGTCACTCTCCCAGCAACTGGTGGTGCCTTTTCAAATCTTCCTCCTTTGTCGTATAGCGTTGTCGCCGTTTTGGGACCAATAGTGTGGAGTTTCTGATATTGGAAAGATTGATTGTAAATGTATTTGAATAGAAGCTATCTAGAGAACGCGTAAGTTGTCAAACAAGCAAAGATCTCTTAAGCTGATGGTCATGTTTGCTGCTGGGCTCTGTACGCTTTGGGAGAGGAAGGGGGCGATGCAAAAGCTAACGCGAAGTCATGTTTTCATGCAGACCTTATTGCTATCCCTGGCCGTTTGTCGGCACCCGATCCGAACCTTGGAGTCAGATTTGATGTCTAGTGAAAGTGGAACCCTGGAAATGCCGGCCGTGTTGTTCAGATGCCGGCTTCCAATAAATGACGCGCCTTGCGTTGATGATCCCTGTCTATGAACGGCATACTCTTTCGATGACCACTCGCAAGAAATCCCAATGTCAACCCGAAGCTGAGCTCAGCAAAGTCATGATCACTCCACAGCTTTCTTCGTTCGGATTGGCGCTGTTGTCCTTGATGAACTCCTGATGAATGCTTGATCCACAACGTCTTGCATCCAGGGGGCCCTCAGATCGGGTGACATTCCGGCTAACGAATCCCGTTAGGAAAGTATCGACGTCACGTCGCTCGCTGAAAGTCATTTTGGCTTCCAGCTTGTATAACAAGATAATCTAATTTGTCAGGTGGCCTGGCTCTAGCAAGGTTCCGTCCAAGAAGCGAAGTCTGCGGCTCTTGGCTATTTGCGTCACCGTTGCGGGCTAAGCAGGGCACCAAGACCCGTACCCAGAGCCGCGCGAACCAGAATCGTTTCCGGGATATCGGCTCACCGAAGCGACCGAATTTATGGAGATGGAGCACCGCCCCACTGCACATGGTTGCTATGCTTCCCCGGATCGACATTGGAGTATAAGAGGCCATGGCAATGTTTGAAGATGTTAGATATTCAGAAGGCGAAGTTCAAGCTCTCGAGCTCAGCGTTAAATTCTCCTACTTGAGATATCAAGGGGTTTTTTCTTTTTTTTTTCCATACAAAAATGGCGCTTCTTTCACCCAAAGTTTACCAGTGGCTGGTGGGAGTCTTTGCATCGTTGGGTGCTTTTCTCTTCGGCTACGATCTCGGTGTTATTGCGGCGGTTGTGATATCGAATACCTTTATAGATGCCTTTGATCCCAGCACGTCGACCGAAGGACTGGTCGTCTCAATGTTTACGGCCGGCGCCTTCTTCAGTGCTGGAGCGGCCGGTCCTCTCGGAGACCGTATCGGCCGACGAGGCACAATCGTTACTGGCGCGCTATTCTTCTTGCTAGGTGGAGGTCTCCAGACAGGCGCCAACGATATCCATATGATGTGGTCTGGTCGATTCATATCCGGAATCGGTGTGGGAGCACTCTGCATGATCGTCCCTCTCTACCAGGCAGAGTTAGCTCACCCGAGCATTCGTGGAACGGTTACAGCCTTGCAGCAACTCATGATCGGTATTGGAGCATTCGTCGCCACGTGGGTTGGCTGGGGTTGTTATACCAACCTCACCACCACGAGCGCTCAGTGGCGTATTCCCTTGGCCATACAGAATGTCCCTGCCTTGCTTTTGGCTCTGTTGACATTCTTATTCCCGGAAAGCCCTAGGTAAGTACATATGCACCGCAGGTATGATAAATGATGCTAAGGCTGACTCTTCACGTAGATGGCTCGGAGATAAGGGAAGGGATGAAGAAATGCTAAAGACCCTGGCTCGTCTGCACGCCAACCACAACGTCGAGGACCCTTTCGTCAGATCCGAGTACGAACAAATCAAGGCCGCCATCTCTTACGAGCACCACAATGAGGCGAAGTCTTACATGGAGCTCTTCCGCTCGAAGAGTTCCTTTCGACGCTTGTTTCTCTGCTGCGCTGTTCAGGCATCAGTTCAGATGACTGGAGTTTCAGCAATTCAGGTATGCATTCGCGATTGCAATTGACGGGCTCCTTTCTAACTCAACCCGCAGTACTACTCTCCCCGTATCTTTCAACAAATTGGAATCGCGGCCGAAGACACACTGAAATACCAAGGAATTAGCAACGGTCTCGCTATTCTTGCCCAAATCTTTGCGATGGTTCTGGTTGACAAAACCGGCCGCCGATGGCCTCTCATCGGGGGCAACATTTTCAACTCCGTGACGTTCATTATTGCTGCAGTCTTGCTGGCCAAGTTCCCACCCGGTGTGTCCAACAACCTCAGCGCTCAGTGGGGTTTCATCGTCGTTACTTGGCTCTACAACTTTAGTTTCAGCTCAACTTGCGGACCTTTGTCATGGATCATCTGTGCAGAAGTGTTTGATACAAGAACTCGTGCCAAGGGCGTCAGTATCACAACTATGGTATCGTTTGCATTCAACACCATGATTGTAAGTTGAAGTCTTCATGCTCTGTGTATCAAACTTTCTAACACATCACAGGGTCAAGTCACTCCCGAAGCCATGGACTCTGTGGGCTATCGCTTTTACATCTTGTTCGTCGTGTGTAACATCACTAATGCGGTGTTCTTCTGGGCCTTCCTCCCCGAAACCGCCCGCCGACCTTTGGAGGAGATGAACGAGCTTTTCAGCAGCGATAGTTGGTTTATTGCAGGCAAGACGAGCAGGAGGCACGGTGCAGAGGACCTGGAGAACAGGCTCCAGGAGAAGGAGGGTGAAGCTGATGAAGGCACTCATAGTGAGACCGTCCATGCGAAGTAGAGCGTTAATTGACTTTTCAGCCCGTGTGGCTGGTGCCAAGATGTGTCCGTCGCTATGTGTGTTAATTTGCATCAGGATAATCGTTTCAATATCCGAAGTCGGGGTGAATAAATCTCCTCAATTTCCCACCAACTCGGTCGGAAGTCCCTTGATGGCTTTCTGCTCCTCCGGTCTAAGCTTGACGTAGAAATATTTATCCAGAGCTGCCACACGCTCCGCCTCGTTCTTTAGCGTCTCGAGAAGTTCGAGTTGGTCGCCAATCTTGCGCTTGACTTCATCCTTGTGCAGAACAATCGTTCCAATCGCTTTCCGCGTCTCAGGGTCCAGAATCGTCCTCATTGCCAAAACCGTCTTGACAAAGTAGCTCGTCGGTCTGCTCATAGTAGCCAAGTTCATGACCTCAAAGTCCTCTGGGAAGAACTCTAGCTCAGTAAAGCAATTCCGCTGCCTAAACGGGCCGTCGGCGCTATCAGTGGAATAATACACCCACATCCGCTGGTTGGGATCCGTGTGCTGATCTAATTGCTCATAGACCAGCTTGCCTCGCAGAGGGGCGATGGTGGTAAACTCATGACCGCCACTCTTCTTCATCAGCACCGGAATCATAGCTGCGCCTTTACCGAAGCCAACGTCTACCATGTAGCGCTGTCCTTCAATAGTGATGAGGTTGAGCATATGTGACCTGCAAAGTATGAGTGATCATTCGAGAATCAGGACCGCCTGAACGTACCATCCTCCAAAGCGCTCGTCTCCTTTAATTCGCCCGCCAACGCTGAGGACGGTGTAACCGAGACTCTTCAGGACAGCGCCGAACAACGCGTTCATCTCCATGCAGTAGCCGCCATGGCTCTCGATCACAACCTTGCGGAAGAGGTCTTGCAGATCCAGCGAGATCTGTCGGTGTTTCGAGTAGTGCAATGTCAAGCTCTCAAAGGGAACTCTCGCGAGATGATGAGCTTGGAGCTCTGTGAGCAGCTGCAGCGCATCCGACGCATGCTTCTCGCGAGGGTAGTTGATGTGATTGAAGTACTGGTCGAGCTGCTCCTCGCTGTAAAACATGATGGGCGATTGACTATGGGTAAAAAGTGGAGGGGATACTTTCGACGATGCGTGATAGGGACAGAGCCTGTATAAGTAATCGAGGCTTACAAATCTGCTTTGCTACGCTCTGAAGACTTTCACGACGCACGGGTGAGGTTTTTCGTGCGGCAATGTCTTTCGCGCCTTTCGAGTAATAATGTCCACTTATGACGTGGCGCTACTGTCGGCGCGGAATATTAACCCAGACTGGCCTACAGTACAAAAAGTTGTACCGTTCCGAAAATTTTAGAATTGGTCATTGATTGCTGCGCGAGCAACTCTTAGGTATATCTCCCAGGGTGAGGTAGCACCAGTACTGCATCGCTGCAGATGAAAGTTGCTATTTGGTGTTTACACTGGCTTTAGGTTAAAAACTGCAAGATAAAACGGTCCCTACATCAATTAGGATTAACGGTGCATGCATTCCATCCTTTAAGCTTAACTAGCTTTAAACAGGAATAAAGCGAACGGGGGATTTGCGCTTAGTCAATTAAACGGCGCTTGGTAGGCCTATCTGCTCATAAATGACTCAGTAGATGCGGGAGAGCTCGCATTTGCTGGCAAGATGGAATCTGCTTGTGCAAGTAATTCTAATTTTTGGCGTCCGTAAGCTGCTAAAACTCTAAGCAGCCCAAATTTACGATACTTTTTCATCATCTGACAATATAAGACGAACGAAAGGTACGCAGTAGGGATGGCAGAATCGAGGAAAGTTAATGTGCCATCATAGGCTTGTCATTGCAACGTTATTCACAGTTAATAGGCACCTACTGATTCATGTGTATTCCTAAGCTCTTCTTGGCAACAAATGAAGAAAAACCTGTCTTGATGAGTGCGAATTTGCTAGACTTATTGCCATTTAGACAAGTCTACATTATCCGTAACTGTGTTTAACTGCAATCCCAGTTAGGCAGGTGATGAATGTACCGCACGTGTTAATACGTAATCCCTCCGCTGCCCCCAAAAAACACGCAACTTCATCAGAACACCATACATGCGACCCCTGATTATCGTATTGGGCCGTGAGTACCAGCCTCGAGACCAATGCAGCTTTTCATTTTCGCATTGCTCGCACAATTCACAATAGGCGTCATGGGTGAGAAGTTCATCGTCGAGTTTGGCAGCAGCAAGGTAGATTTATCCATGCCCGTATGACCGCCATTCGCCGTCGCCTAACGATCACGTTCCAGGATGAAGACAGAGAAGAATTGATCAGCAAATTAACTGCTGACGGAAAGACGACAATCGTCAAACGTTTCGATCATGTAATTCTCTCCGGTGTTGTAATTGAGACAGGCAACCACAATCTCGACACGCTTCGAATGCTTCCGAATGTGGGAAATGTGTGGTCATCAAGGAACGAGGGTCTCCTGTCACAGCTCAGTGACTCAAGATCGTAATTGAATGGCCTCGGAAGATGTTTGGCTTGGCTCAGGGCTCGTTCAAGGTCACCTACCTCCAATCTGTGATTTTAGCCAGGTCCCCTGTGCAGATTCCGATGCTGTGCCGCGGGATGAATTGGCCTCAGTGCAGGGATATGACTGACCAATAGGAGGATATGGGCTGTTGGTACGCTCGACTACACCCAAAGGTATTGAATAGCTATAAGTACGAACACAATAGATTGATCTTTCAGTGTTGAATATGATAGAAAGTATCAATTTTCCATTAATTAAACTTTACACTCAGTTATTGTGCTATCTCGTCGCTACTTGTCTCTGAAATTGAGCAACTAATGCAACATGAACCGAAACGAAATCGCTGAACTGCCCTTCTTGGACAGTTCCGGACCACCGATATATAAAGCCGGATTACTAGACCTACCGCTGGAATGTTTACGTCACATTTTCGCCATGGTTGTCAAATACGACGAGAACTCTGAGACTAATTTAAGAGACGCTGTTTCACTTTTGCGAGTTTCTAGTGCGTTATATCGATGTTTGTAACAAGATGGAAGATGGGCAAAAACTAACAATGATCAGAAATTTTCGAGGCTGAAATAATGCGAGCAATCTCAGTTACTAAACTGTTACGGAGAATGCGTAAGAACCCGGAAGTTGCCATTCTCCGTGTATATGCCCGAAGGACTCTGGTTTCCCAAAGCTGCAGATCAATCCCCGAAGGATTTGCATCATCCTTTCTCGCTCGATACATTATATTTCGACCACAGGAATACCTACCATGGGATGCGAATCTGGTTACTGTTATCAACTCAATTGTTGATGCTGCCATAAGAAAGGATGACCTGGATATGGACGTAAAGCAGAGATTTCGTTATACACGCGACATCTGTCGACATGCCATCAGTCCTCAGCCATCGTCAGACTCCCCAATAAGCGAAAACGGAATGTGGGTACTTTTTGAGCCTTACTTGCAGTCAATGCTCTTCCCGCACAAACAGGCTGTTATTCAGGAATCTCTCGAAAGCCTCATTCTTCCAGCCAAGATATATCTCAAGGATCCTGGCGTAGATAATATGATCTTCTCTCTAGTCTTATCAAAAGGACCCAAAGCGCTCTCCACTTTTCGATCTACTACTCCCACCTCTCCTGAAAACAATGCCGAAAAGCCTCAAAAGCTGGCTAGAAGAAAGCCACTCTTGGGCTCACTTCTGGACGCTGCCATCCGGAGCGGGAATAAAAATTTGGCTGCTTTCTTAATAAAGTACGAGGTCGATATCTCGCGCGAGAAGCCACCCACGGTAGTCGGAGTAAAGGTAACAAAAAGAAAACGATATTACGACCAGTACTTCTACCGGCTTGCTGTCGAATGCAAAGACATAGAGACGCTCACAGATCTTTTGGAGAGTTCCGATACCGAGGAGTTACTGCCAACACACTTCTTCCAGTTACTAATGAGGGCAATCTGTTCTCTCCAGCCACAGGCGGTTCGGCTAGTCCTCAATAAGGCACCGCCTTCAGCAGAGCTCGAACTACCCGGTCCGCGGTGGATGTATTTCAGACCCCGACTGAACATGTTAGAATATGGTTTAGAAGAGGCTATGGTTCATCGACACGTGGAGATATTTGGACTTCTTTTGGAGTCTCCTCTTGCCCAATCACAGGCTCGCCATCTTCGTCTGTGGGAAAGGTTGTGGGGTTCGCCATGGTCCTCAGAGAAGATGAGCCACGTGGGAGGAAAATCGCCTATTGAGATTGCAGCCGAGCGAGGAGACGAGGCGGAAATTCGCTCCCTTCTTTCCGCAGGCGCCAGCCCACACGGTCTGAAGCCCCAACTTGCTGCATGCCCTTGCGACACATCGAGCTCGACCCAGCTGAGAGATTTGATGCCCATGATAGCTGCGGCGAAAAACTGGCAAGCTGTCGCTGCTCGCCTTTTAGTCGAGGGAGGATTCGAGTGCTATGACATACACTGGCTACTCATCATTGGCACAGTCATTACAAGCAGAAGTGAACCCGGAACTTCTGGTCTCTCGCGGCCGTTTGGTGGTGCAGATACATCCCAAGATTACCAACGCGCCCTTGAAAGACGAGACGTTGCGTTTTGGCAGAAGATGCTGGACGAGAAAATCATTGGCTTGCAGCACGTCTACCGCAATTGTCCACGTTGCGAAGACAGATTCGATTCGCTGTCGCGCCATAACTGGAGCATTCACGTTGCCAAGGACTTCGTCCGCAACCACTTGCGAATAGTTCCCGATGGAACGTTTAGGCCCTATCGCCATAGAGATTGGAAGAACGTGGAGGCTGGTCATACATGTGTGCGGGTTGGATTAGATTAAGAGACTTGGTATGAACAAGACTGTGTAAAATTGTGCTATCGAAATCGATTTCTGCAAATCGCCTTGTCGAGTGTCAATTTGCAACCCACCGATTGGGACAACGACAAATGGTTTCCACAAACAGCTTGTAAAGTGAAGGTGTGGATGGTGCTTATTGAACGCACGTTGATATGTCAGTGATGAAAGAGATCGCCGAATGTATGTAGGGGGTTCATGTCCAAAAATTCATTACACATTTCATGTCTGGCCTACCATGAGGCCACAAGCCTTTATTCATGAGGTCATATCCACTAAGTACACCTCCGTTCCAGTGCCCCCAACCCAACAAACAACGAACAACAAGAAGAGGCTCACTAGATCAGATGAGCAATATCGGAGACGAATCGCTTGTTAGCCTTCTTCGCCGCAACACCACACTGGCCAGCGATAGCAGTGGTCTTGCCATTGACAGCACACTGGCCGTTGGCATTGCAAGAGCCAGCACCTTTGCCATCTGTGCATGCCAGACCCGAGAACTCTGCCTGAGACTTGCCCTTGCCCTTTCCAGCATTAGCATTGTTGTTATCGGCGTTGTTGTTATTGTTGTTATTGTTGTTGTTCTTCTTCGCATCGTTATTGTTCTTTTTCGCGGCGTTATTGTTATTGTTGTTCTTTTTCGCAGCATCATTGTTGTTCTTTTCGGCGGCCGCGTTATTGTTCTTGTTCTTCTTTGCATTGGCAGCTCCATTGTTTTTCTTCTTCGTAGCAGCAGCATTCGCAGCGGCCCCCTGCGCTTGAGCACCAGCTGCCTTTGCCTTCTTATTCTTCTTCTTCTTTCCTCGGGCCTCAAGGTGGCTAGCTTCGTTGGCCAGGAAATCCTCAGCACGAACTTCGACAGGAAGAGAAACGTCGCTGGCTTGAATGGTGGGGGCTATTGCGGATCGTTAGCGACAAGAAACAAACAAGAAACGCCCAGAGAAGGGGTTGCTGATTGGGACATACCAGAAACAACATTGCCAGCCAAAAGGCCTAGGGCAAGGAAAGCAGCAGTGGAGAACTTCATATTGACTGATATTTGATGACTTGGACAGACTAATGAAAGCAGGCTATGATGAAATTGACCCCAGGTCAAATCGAATGAAAAATCAATCAAAAAGAGCCGCGCACAGCACGGAAAGAATGTAATGGCTAGAAGACGAAGGAAATTACCAGATAGACGCTCGTAGGAGGAATGAAAAGAAAAAAAAGGCCCGCAAACGTCAACAGTCTTCTCCGGCCTTTATATCAACTAAGCCGTTGCTTATTTGACAGCCATTGCTGTCACACCCTGAAACTCCGGATGGCGGCGTCACCTGAGCATCAGCACTGTTCAATACCACAAACCCTACTAAGGATGACTTTTTGTGACTCGAGATGACAGCCCTGGAGCCTCATCCTGCAACCAGGGCCTGTTCAGATGCCTGATCATCCCGTCACATCATTAGCTCAAACGAGGCTTAATGTCATACGGACAGGGATGGGCCTGGACAAGATGCTCACACGAAGCTCGGTTATGTCGGACTAACGTCCCACACCCACTTCTGGGCACCCCCCACATTTGGGCACCCCATTTACACCAAAAACGCCGTTTTTCGAAATTCTATATTAAACTAAATACTTTACTTATTAAAGAGAATAAATATATGTTAAATAGATTAAGACTTAATTATAATACTTAAGTAGCTATATACTAGTATTATTGATAATAAGTATTATAAATTCAAGGTTTAACATTTATAATACTAATTTACCTAGCCTATATCTTAATATATAAAATAGGTAGAGATATTTAACTAATATGATTAGAATTTTTAAGTAAGATATAGTAGATTTATATATTCTTATACTTAGTAAAAAATTCTTTAAGCTTAGAATAATATTTTAAAATTTCCCTTAAGAAAAGTTTCTATTATAGAATTTTAACCCTTAATTATACTATATTTACTAAAGTAATACTTTTAAATCTCTTTTAGATATAATTATATACTTTTAATAAGTATAAATATTAATTTCCTAGATTTTTTAAATAAGTATATATAAGCGAAAATATATTTTTCTAATGTTAAGGAATACTAGTAAGTTACTAGTATCTACTAACATTTTAAAGCTTTTAGTTTTAAACTTCTATATTATAACTATTATTATATTTAAACCTTTATAAAAAATTAGATGGCTATAATTATACTTAACATAGTTTATATATATTTTCTTTTCTTAGTAAGTATAGTAGTTAGTTTAATATAGAATTTCGAAAAACGGCGTTTTTGGTGTAAATGGGGTGCCCAAATGTGGGGGGTGCCCAGAAGTGGGTGTGGGACGTTAATAGGCCAATCCTGCCACAAAAACTGCCCGCATCGCTGTTTCAAGCTTTAAAGTTAATGCAGCCATCTTTCGCAATTGGGCGGCGAACAGTCCAAATCTCCCCCCGGTCCCGGGCGCTCAAGCCCTTTTCTAACATCACAACCCCCCTCCACCTTTCAGTTTTGCTGCGCGTGATTCGAGGGACGACCGGCCCTCTCGACAGAAGGGGATCCACAGGGATTTTGTTGGAACCGCCTTTTAAGCTTGGTACCGCCCTTATTGGAACATTCATGCTTGTTTTGGGAACCAAGGATCAGGAAGCGAAGCTCCTCAAACACGCCAAGTTCTAGATGTAGAGGCTTGTTTGTGTCGAGAATGAACAAAAATATGGGCTTCCCCAGATCCTGTCGATTATTCTCCGGCTCTTGGCATGCCCGAACCAGCTACCGCAAATGTAGGTAACGGAGCCGCCGGCCACCGAGCTGCCTTCGCCCTGGACCAATTAGTCATTGAATGACTCGAAGATCATTGGCGTGTGTTTAGGAGACGAGAATATCAGAAACGCGTGGCCGGATAAACGAATCATACATCTAAAACTGCTTTCCTTTCTTGGTAACGACTTTCCTTCATTCTGCTCCACGGCCATTCACCAAAGACGATCGCCCCAAGCCGACATACCGAGATGACATTAATGGCCTCTAAACAGCTCATAACGACCATCTTTTTGTTTTTGAGTCTCGGCCGTAGTCGAACCGGATCGTCGGCTGCAGAGTCAGAGCCATGTCCATGAGCCAAGTGTCACCACTACGCACAGCTTTCAGTGGTTTTCACAACCGAGCTTTCCACATCCCTGTCCCTAATCACAGCCTGACTGGTGCCTGTATCAAGTTCGCGGAAGCTTTTGCCGCGCACTAGTATGATAAGGAACCCGCGTACTATCTTAAGATGATGAGATCAGCTGAACGACTGCGGAATGGCACCGATTGTATGGTTTTGCTATTCTATTGTTGGCAAAACCTAAGCTCGGCTTCATCCTCTTAATAGCATAGTTTTGAAAATTACAATGATGAACCAGACATGCTGTGACCTTTGCGTCTTGTTTTTCGTTCTCTCCAGAAACAGCAGCGAGGCGAAAGAAACGCGATATTGCTTTCAAATGACCATTTTTGTTGCCATTATATCAGGCCGGTAATACCGAAGTCCTTCGAACTGAGCTACACAAAAACCTTTTTGGAGCTTGAATTTGACTTGCAGACCTGAGTAACCGAATCAACTGGCGTCTTTCCTAGCTTCCGGAATTGGCACAGCCGTTGGTGGGGTCCAAACATGGTTGCATCTTACCAAGAATAACCCTGAGACACTATGGCGCACCGATAATTTCTCCAGGATTGTTATAATATGGAATGGCACATTCTAGCAGACCCCAGAATGTCCAGGTTGACTGCTCCAGTTGTAGGGCGTCGCAGATTAAATCATGTTTAGCCAGTAGCAATTACAGAAGATCATTCGCCCAGTACCTTTACCTGTAGGTACTTTTCGAAAGGATTACCTTGATGTTGCTCTACAATTTGCCTAAACTTGCACGATTGTTTTGATTCGACTGCCCAGTGCCTTTCGATAGAGTTCACTTTGGTTTGAGATTGTTAATTTAGTATCAAGAGTTTTCACGTCATTCCCTCATTCTGTACGATGCACTCGTGCTTGGAATCCTAGTATTCACCTCTGCCTCCGAAATGATGCCCATGAGCACTAGTCCAGGTTTGTGGCTTTTCCAGGTTCGGAAGTTGGTTCACGGGTTAAACGGCACTTTTGGATTTTGCCGCTGCAGGGGCGGCATGGCATGCCGATCATCGTCAACAATTGCCGAATGGTTCAACAGCCCTCTACCCCAGACTCTGGCGGCCATCTAGCCATGACATTGAATTTAGCCGGAGATGCATTTCCATGAGAAATCATGTCCAAGAATCCAGTAAGACTTACCAAAATGCCACTGACGCGCGGCAAACAAGGCGTGACCGCAGCTAGTGTGGATTTATCCAGAGATGCTGGACAAGATCACAACGGAAACATGGAAGGGCAACACGAACCCTCTTGCTTTTAGCCTGACCCCGCGCGGACAAGAGGTCGGTAATAGGAGGTGAAGATATAAAATGTCAATAAATTTTCACAATCTATGAATATGGTGCCGTCCAAAGCAGCCTTTCTGAACTATCTGTTGAACTAACGATCTCACCATGGTCTCATTCACGAACTTCTTCGTCGCTCTCACTGCTGTTGCCGGAGTCTTCGCCAGCCCTACTGCCGAGCTCACTAAACGCCAGTCAACTCCGAGCTCGACAGGCTTCCACAACGGGTACTATTACTCTTGGTGGACTGACGGTGGTTCTCAAGTCACCTACACCAACGGCGCTGGTGGTTCCTACAGCGTGAACTGGGGCGGTGGCGGAGGCAATTTTGTAGGTGGCAAGGGCTGGAACCCCGGTGGTCCCAAGTAAGACTATCAAATATGAAAGCTGGAAGATTATCTCTAATGCTTTGACTCCGCAGGACCATCCAATATTCGGGTACCTACAACCCCAACGGAAACAGCGTAAGCCATCTCTTAACTCATTGAAAAGATTCTTCTGCCTCCTGAGTATAAGTGCAACGTCAAGGCAAAAGACTTCATCGGGCACTTGAGACAATCCGATTGACCAGAGCTTATAGTATCTTGCTGTCTACGGTTGGACCAAGAACCCATTGATTGAGTACTACATCGTTGAAAACTACGGCACCTACAACCCTGCTTCTCAGGCCGAGAGGAAGGGTTCTGTTACCAGCGACGGCGGAACTTACGACATCTATGTGAGCACGCGCTACAATCAACCTAGCATCGAAGGCACTGCCACCTTCAGACAGTTCTGGTCCATTGTAAGCTCGAGTCCTCCTGCATCACTTTTATAACATGAACTAAGTGTCTCTACTAGCGAACTCAGAAGCGCACCGGGGGTACTGTGACTACTGGCAACCACTTTGCGGCTTGGGCACAGGTCGGCCTCACTCTTGGAACCCATAACTATATGATTGTGGCCACCGAGGGATACTTCAGCAGCGGTTCCGCCTCGATCACAGTCAACAGCCCTCCCTGAGCCAACAAGGAGATATCAAAGGTTCCTCTGCACTACACATATGCTAAATAGGACAATCAGGGTTGAGAATAGTGCCAGCCAAGGCCTGCTGGATCTCAAGAACGGCTTACTCCTCTTGCCTTGCTTGGCTGTTCTTTTGCAACGCAAACTCACGATGAGAATGTATTCATTAGAATCAATATAAATCCATTCTTCCGTGTTGCAACCGTAGTATGTATCTCGTTACTAAAGACTGTTGAGCCCAGAAAGTGGAGTGATGTGACTTGTTCGTTACCAATTGGCGCGGGCGACGGTAACGTGGCCGCCTGCATACCGAAATCCCTAAAATAGCAAACAATATGATTCTGCAATCATGGCAAGTTCCCCTGCAAAAAAGTATAACCTGACACACTAGATGTAACTGACCAAGGGGAAAAGATGGCGTTCATCATGCCAAAGTAAGTTTTAGCGTCAAGTTCGGATGATAAGGGCCTATGCTTTGAGCAATATTCCCTAGCTTGATGGTGTGTACTAGTAGGGCACTCGTTAGTTGAGATGAGGGGAGTGAATATTTACAGCCTTAATATTCTGCCGATATCCGTGGTTTCTACAGGAGCCATAACGGTCATTACATCAGTGGTTTCAACTTTTCCAGCCCGGCAAATGATCTGTTTACGACCAAATGAGCAATTATTCAGTCTCCCCCGCTTCCCCATCCGGATATCAGGTTTCAGGAAACCGTGCACTTTTTGTTAAGTACCGTAGAGTAGGTATCTGACGGATAGTTCTACGAGCCCTAGAGTTTGACTGCATCACCGTATCCGATCTTGGTCCACATGTTCTTTTGCGGGAAAATCGGAAGAGGCCGAGGAAAATCAGGGATATTTTCTCCATGGCCACTCAACCGATATTTAGTAACCAGGAAGCTGTAGTTCAGTTTCGGCAGGGATGCTGGGACTGGAAACGCGAGCACTAAAAGGTCCTTGGAATTTCACTGTAACGCGACAACCCCGGGTTTATCCGAGAAGAAAATGGATATGGTTGTATAATTTCGCCATACTTCTGGGCTTTGCGGCTTTCGCGGAGGCCTAGGGGCCCGATAAGCTCATTAAGAGCTCTGTTTATGCAAGGATCAATGCCTATTTTGAATGCGAATACACTCAAGGGCAGTTAGACACAGAGTTTGGTAATTGATCGTTGGAGCCCAGCGTCAAATCTAAGTTAGCCAAATCACAGCGCTGGTATAAGGCCAAATGTTTTATGAGCTCTGATTCCAAATACAGTAATACTGGAGCGGCAAGCTGAATACAATGAGTAATATCACGGAAGAAGCTTCATTCAATTTCGAAGGCAAACCCGAGAAAAGTTTGATTACTTTCGAGCTGGAAAGGTGACATGCAGTAATATCCATTTAGAAAGAATTTTCATCTTGGTAATACGTCACCATTACTATTCTATCAGGCATGAAAGAACTCATCAAGATTTCCAAGGGATTTCACCAGCAGGCAAGCCGAATATGATGCTTCACATTGCCAATAGTGAGTATCTGCATATGGCCCAAAGCAAACAAGCACATATAAAGGAATTTAGTGCTTAATGAGACCATCCAACACGACGAAAAGTTGTTGCGATAACTGTAGGCACCGTCGCCTCTTCGCATGGCGGTTTCGGCGGGTTCCCTGTCGTGCCGTTTGCTACAGGTCTAATATTGGCCATTTATACAGGGATGTATTTTGGCAGTCAGGGCACCTGAGTCGTCAATACCTGCCTGTCTGGGGTTTGATTCAGCAGCCCCTGGACCCGGACACAACCGTGATCTGGCCCCCTGGGTCAGTCATGGCTGATGATCATTGCCGTTCATTGCCATTCAGGGAGAACAAAACAGCCTGGCAATGTTGCTTGATGTGCGAATCAGTTTATGCCAAGACTAGGACAATTGATGGCAACAAGGATTTGCTGATCTGGTTGATCACCTAAACTTGTATTATGCAGGCAGCACTTCCTTTCAAGCGTGACCACAAATGTCTCAGCCGTTGCTTGTTAAGGTTATGTTACGCCAAGCTGGACGGACGCGGGTTTTTCTACCGAAGCTTAACAGCACAAACATTGTCATGACTGGACTAACCTAGAAACCTACCTACAAAGCAGATTTAGGCAGAAGAAAAAAAGGAATAAAAAGAAGTGAAGAAGAAAAGCTGAAGAGCTAGTCTTTTGGAACAGCGCATATTGTTGTTTCAAGTATTTCCATGCTGGATAATGCCAAGAATCGCACGATGTGGCAGGAGCAGTATGGCCCGATCGTTGATTGGAATCCATCTCCTTGATCATTTCGACGCATCTATACAGCTTTCAAGTAAAACCCTGCTTCAACCCATAACTGGACGTCCATAACTCAGAAGAAATAAGAGGAACGTGATGATCCTTTTATGTAGCCGCATTTACTTCGACTGCGGGTTAGAAATGACAAGATTTGTTTTCGTCAGAATAATATTATTGTATGCTATTTTCTTACCCAATGTGTCATTTTTGTCAACATATATAGAAAGTTTAGATTCGTATAGTCGCTACATCTGAAATTGCTTAAGAAAGGGTTTCGAGTTTACTGATGCTTCAACTATTGTACGAATCAAAAGATTTCATAGTAGACTAAGTTCTTTGTCGCGGGAAAGCAGGGTTAGACACGATATGTTCTGCGCTGTTTCGTAACTCTTATGCTGCTATCAGAGCCCGAAGTACTCATCGAACCATTAGTTCCCTATGTTGGATAGTAAATAGAACGGCATAACAGCTCGGGCTCATCTTGAGCTGCTGCTCAAAGCTTGAATATCAAGTACTGACGTGAACACGTCAAGATTTAATAATATCTAAGCTTAGTGACCTTTTCTCTTTTTATTCCCATTGACAGGGGCTGTTGGCTTTGACCTAAGATACAAAAGCTGACCTCGAGAATTTTAGTTATCTTGCTGTACAGTCTCAACGCTGAGGTCTTTCGGCCATCTAGGGTAGTCTACCCCGTTACCCCGTGTACCCACGTGGTATCCTAACTGTACGCTCTGGTCGTTGAATTGAGCAATTGGCTTCACCTGGACAAAAGTAGTGTCCATATTTTTGGCATGGCGAGCTTCGAAGAAATCCGGGTTGAATAGCGTGGCGGCATCGTGTTCCTTCAACAACTTCATCATCGACGGCAGTAAATGGAGCATAGAATGGTACTTGCGGAAGACTGGCGAACCATGCCTTTGCCAGACCTCATTCCAAACATCATCCGGGTACATACCACAGGAGCGGACTAGCCACCCTGAGTAGTAATTTAGTGCCACCTGTTAGGAGACGGGTTGTTAGTTGTAACCCATATCTTTGTGGTGAAAATTACTTACGTCGATGCCATAACTGCCACCTTGCTCGGCTCGTTTCACAAGAGCGTCAAGAACAGCAGCACTTCCACAGACTCCAGTACTGTGATGGATTGTCAGTAAAGAACCATGAGGTTGAGCATTTACACATGTACTGACCAATAGTCTGAGTTAGGGAAAACCGGAGTCACTGCCTCATCATGGCCCATCGCCTTACCGTAGCCAATCGATACACCACAGCACTAAACATGAGCCATAGTGTCAGAAGGCTCGTTAACACCTTGAAGGAGGGAAAACTTACGATATCACTGATCTGCTGCCATCCGCTCCGGTGGCTCCATGGCCCATGCCACCCGTAGCAGTTCTCTCGGACATGAATTATGCCGCGGGATCGGTCTCTGACAAGGTCGAAGATAGCTTGGCGGCCGAGACCGTGACGTTCCATCACACCAGGTCTGTAGCCATCCACGACTACATCCGCTTCTCGAATCAACTCCCGCAGCTTTTCCTGGTCCTCCGGATTCTTGATGTTCAAGTGACAATTCCATTTACCCCAATTCAGATCCTGATGGACGGCTGAGAGATCGGTGATGTTGGGCGACGTGACTCGCATGACGCTCGCATCCAACTCTGCCAAGCCACGCGTCACAGCAGGGCCGGCAATAACACGTGTCAAGTCAACAACTTTCAGACCTGCAAGAGGCCTTATCGAGGATGACTCTGTAGCCTGTGATTGAACTTCAGGCCACCATCCAGGCGGCTGGCTAGACCGAGTATCCTTTGATAGTTCGTAAAGGCCGACTTTAGCACATTGCTGTCCCTGCTCAGTTGCGAAGTACTCGTCTGTCGTATATGCAATCGAGCCTGCTTGGCGATATTGCTCGTTCATGAGCTCGTCCAAAGCAGCTGAGTCTAGCTGAGAGACAACGTTTTGGAATCTCTGGACTACAGCATCATAACTATCGTCATCATCACCCTCCATCGGGAGCCCAAGTGCTGTCAGAGTCGGCTCAGGGTTCATACTACCTGTTTTATTCAAAAAAGTAAGTTATGGCATTGGTGGCTTTCACCGTACAAGGCTGTATCTCAAGGACCTACCGTGCACATGGTAAAAGCGATTGTCACGCGTCTTGTAAATATTCGTTGCCAGACTTCTATGCAATCTGCCAAGCGCTCGGTGCTTGTCTTCATTCGGAAAGAGGCTCTGGATTTCCGGAGACATAGGGTCGATAGGAACACGCTTCCCGTCCTTTAAGAACGATGCAACCAAAGGCGACATGAAGAACAATGTGGCATGGTCTCTGAGAACAAAAATAAGCACCGAGAAATAAGGAGGCAACCGACATCAGAGGCACCCACGTGTTGATTGTAACTTCTGACGGCGTCTGTTGATATTTTTTGGACAATAGCTGCATCAGAAGAAGTGCTTCGTAAGCCTTCAATGCGGAGATGCTCTCCGCAAACCGCCAGTTAATGGACACGCTCGGTTTGGCCGACCCTTCGAAACGGATTCGCTTGCTTAAAGATCGCAGCTCTGGCGTCAGCGGGCCTACTAAGGGGTTCTCCAAGATACCATCTTGAAAAACTCTAGCCGCCTCTTGGGGCACAGAATAGCTACCGGCAGAGCTCATTGCTGTAGATGTGGCGTGGGAGTGTAATACCGCCGCAAGTGATTACGTGGCAGATGGGTGGCATGATCTGTTCCGGACTTGGGGTAATGGCTCTTTTATAATCACCGGCTGAAAGAGGGGTCCAAAGTCGCGGCAATTATATTGAATGGGTCTTCTGAGCGATGCTGACCTAGGTTGGATCAGCGGTCAAAGAGCGGATGAGAAGAGTAAAAGTGGAACAGCGTTGTAGAAAATTACACAATCATCAGTAGCTAACGGTCAAATTTATTTTATGAAAAAAATCCTTCCGAGAATGCCTCAGATACTATGGCAGCAATGCTGATGGGACTGGCCTAAACCCGGCAATCACCACTCCGAGCAGAGTTGTGCAGGGTATGTTTGCCGTAGTGGAGAGTCAGGGATCCTAGCACTCCGGATTTCGGGAGTTCTAGTTCGTCGATGCCGTGGTTCTAACCCAAATAGAGCATCGCTGCTGACAACGGTACGCCACTCCTCACGTCAAGGTCAAGGAGATAAGTTTATGAGAAACGTCATGGCGCTTGCGATTAAAATGACAGAACCGCACCATTGCCTAACGCCAAATGTTGCGGGCTATTGGTTTGGAGCGGATCTCGACCACATTCCGAACTTCCAGAACGGCTCCTAGTATCATTTCAACCCGAACTCAAGTGAAATACTCTAGAGAACACTTCCTTTTACTAACAGACAAATAAGAGAGATGGGAAGGGTAGCCAAATGTGTTGGAAGCAAAACACTGACTGACCTGTGTCGCCTCAAACTGAAATTCGTTTCTAGTTGACGAACGCTGCGAAGTTACAGGCGAATAAGAGGCGTTAACTAAATTTGAAACTCGGGAAAGAAACTCGAATGACTTCTACCAAATCTAAATGCGCCCTGTCTCTTTTGTTGTTAGTGCTGTTCCTTCAGCTTATACTCCAAGAAGATGGGCTCAGCGCGCAACAACTTTGCGATTTTGTAGGCAAAAGTTTCTATAGACTGGCTTGACTGTTCATGGATACAAACGTTGAACTTCCAAGTTATTAATCACCAACACAATTTGCATCTGATAAGAGATAGAGATTGGCTATTTTCTCGATAGGATTATTTTATGTACAAGTTTGTTGGAAGAATTCTTTTTAATTAAACCAATTGAAGAAATAACAGTTTCTAATAAATCCGATCACTATCTTTATAACGGTCCGGGAGGCCACATATCCCTTATTCTCAACAGTTCAAACCACGTGTCAGGTCGGACGATCTCAAAGTCAGAACCTAGTTGCTTAACCATACGACTTACATTCGCCGGTGTGATATCGAATGCACTGAGGGCACCTGTGACAAATAAGGGGCCAGGGCCTTTCCAACTGTCCGAGATATTCCGTAGGGTCTCCGCGCCACTCTGCTCATTTGCGATGCCCACCATGTTTGTTACTGGGAAACCCTGAGTCACATTCACATCAAGCGTCCCTAACGTAGAGACGAAAGATCCGTAAAGGATTCCGCGAAGTCTGTTTCTCCCCACGGCATCACGAAAAGCAACAGTCAGCTCCGGTGTCAATGGGCTGTCAGTTGAGTTGACACGGTCGTACACGAACAGTACCTTGTCTGTTTGCGTGGATCGCATATACTCCCCGCTTTGAGCCAAAAACTCAGATAGTGCTTTTTTGGGCCAAACTCCGGGATAGGTATAACCCGCTCCATCGGGTCCTGCAATAAGCAAATCATTCTCGGTGGATGTTCTTTGGTAATAGGACAGGATGCCAGGTCCGATGTCGCGTAGCAATGGGCTGATGGTCCAACCAAGAGGAACAGATCCCCTGTCCGAATCATTCCAGTGGGAGAACATGCTGCGCTGATTGTATTGGATATTGTCGCCTTCGAGGTAAACGAGGGATAGGATAACTTTAGTGTCTTTTCTTGGGGGAGGGCGCCACGGTGGCACCTTTGGTGGATATGGATACTGTTGCACTTGATTCCTGGTTCTGAACCCACTGAATATGGTAGGGTTGAAGTAAAAGTCTGTGGCTGCCACGTATACACCGTTCTTTGCCAGTTGCGTGACACCGGTCATTTCGTTTCCATTAGGGAACCAGCCCAGGTAAGCTGAATTGGGCTGAAATTGACGGAGTAGTTTGTCAAGCATTGCCGCCTCCTGCGGTCTGCTGCTGTCCAGCCAAATACATGGAGCTGCTGTGCTGACAACGTAATCTCGAAATATTGAATTCACCCTCTGGTAACCAGGAGGTGATGCCGTTGCTGAAACTTGGAACTGATTCCACATGGATAAGGAAATAGTCATTGTAGTAGCGTTTGATGGGTAGTCGAATCTGTAAATAATTGCGGCCGTGCCGTCTGCAAACCTCCAGCCTCCGGGATTATCGGCCAAGTGTGAGCCCCCGTCGTCGAACAGAAAAGAATCTTCACCTTCAGTGCCAGGCTGAAATTCGGCTATGGTTCGATTTTGATCAGCTGTGACTTTCACGTAGTATACAGAAGGGCCAAATCCGTCTGCAGGGAAAGCGTCCGAAATATTGACATAGACGGTACCACTGCTGTTGAGAAACTGAGATAAGTTGATGATATATGTGCCGTTGTTGGAACTATCCTTGATGGATGAATTGGCTCTTAGAAGCGTATCCCAGGTCCTGTTAGCGAACAATATGGTCGAAGCAGGCTTAATTGCGGTTATGAGCCGGTCTGTGACATTTGGCCATACGTTCTTAGCTGCGTGCTCATACAGCTCATATTTGTTTTTGAAACGACCTCTTAGATCCTCAATGATAGGGATATTGAAGCGGTGCGCCAGCTCTTCCGTTGCTAAGACACCATGGGAGACGCCAGCCATAGTCGACGCTAGGTTTATGGTATCTGGTAATCTAATATCGTAGATGATTGCACCGCGAATGTCCGATTTGTACTTATCGATCAACTGGAATGCAGTACTCGTCACGTTGGTATTTTTACAGCCTTGGGATTCAAGTTGGCGTAACCAGGCCTCGTTGATCACGTCGTCGGGCGCATTGGCATCATCAGACCAATAAAGATACAAACGTGGTCGCTGCCGGTTGACCAGCCCTTGTAGAGACACCAGGAGGATCTGCTCGTCGCCTGACAACGCCGTGAGTTTGGCATACTCAATGTCACTGGAAATATCTGGGAACAAGGGCAATGCTCGGTTCCTCGGCCAGTCTAGACCTGACACGCTCGGTGCAGAGAAACCAAAAGTAATCAAGACATTTAGTATTATGAAGAAACACGCCAGGACAGATCTGTTTGTTGGTGTTCTGTTGTGTGCCATTGTCGCGGCATAGCATAGAAGAGCGATAAATCAATGCTCATGCAGCCTAATCCGACGTGAATATCCAATTGTTATAAGAACCTATTTGGGAGACTTGAAAATGAGGCGAGCAGAGCGGAGAAGAAGAACGGATGAAGTTTTGTATCAAAATTCTAAGCTTAACTCTGTTTACATGACTAGCGCATTTTCATTGAATGGCCGAAAAACATAAATATGTCGCTATGCTATAACGTGTGACCCAAGGGCATCTGTTGGCCTTTGGCGTGGAACCGTCTGAACAACATAGTAGCGCTTTGACGTTGGGGGTTCCTCAGCCCAGTCAAACAAGGTCTGCTAAGGGGTATCGTAGCCCTGTTTTCACTTCCATCCACCAGAGACGAACTTTCATTTTCTATTACACGTATCAATTAGTGCCGTGTAAGTAGGTAAGTAAAATGGCATCAGATCTCGTGGGGTTTAAAGAAGAGAGTACTAGAAAAATTTCGTTGTGATTAAAAGCTCTGAATTAATGTAAGACTATGAATGAAGAAGACAATCAAGAAGCTCTTTTCGCTCCAAACAGCTGTACATTATCCAAGGTTGACTCGACCATGCTCAGAGCTACGACAGCAGCGCCATAGAGGATCGGAACTTCTTTCCCTTTTTCAAATTGAGGATGATCAACCAAATCCTCAATCTTGGTGTGTTTATCTGACTCGATGTCGCAGCGTTTTGGCAATTCCATAGGTAAAGGATAAAATGGTAGCTTCAAGTCTTCCCGGTTTGGGCCATCATTTGGATGTCCAGAGTCGACTGCCTCATCACCCTCTGGATCCAAGAAGCCTTTCTCTAGAAGCGTCATGGCGTCTTTGTAAGGCTTGTAAGCTTCACCGCCTCTCCTCTTGTCATTTTTGCTGCCCTGGTGCAAGGAGTCGAACATGAACCAGGCAGCACGAACGACGCTTTCTAAAGCCCCAACAACCCAGGCATGATGAGCTGAAGCCGCCTCACCGACGAAGTACAGCTGGCAGGAAGAGTTCGGCTTTGTGATGGCAGGGTATAAGTCCCAGAATTGACAGGGTCCAAAGTAAGCGAACGCCCCGGCCATGTGACGGTCGCGATACCAGTCCCACGCGTGGTGAGTCATATACTCGCTCTTAATGAGATTGAAGGTGCGGTTGTATGATTCTGGGTCGCTAGGCTTTTCTGCGTGCAGAAGCGCAAGGTCGCGAATAAGAACATCCCGGAGCTCTTCCTCGTCGTAGGGCGTATCGGAAGAGATTAGACTGGCTATCCGCTGGGCTGTCTGGCCCCAAGTGTACGATACGAGAAGCACAGCAGGCTCGTCGATTGGATCCTCGATATTGTACGATGGGTATACGCACACTTGCAACGGGAGGTCTGTACGAGCGAGCCCGCCCTGAGTGATGTTGAATGGTGCTTTGCGCCACCAGGCGGACCTGAACTTCATGCCGACCTTGCAAGAAGCACCGTAGCCGAGGCATTTAATAGCTTGCTTGGTGTCCCAAAACAAACCAGCTTCAGACAGATTCATGTTGTTCATGGAACCAAGAGTGGTTGAGTTGAAAACGGCCAAGTAGTTTTCGTCCGTCTTTTGGGTATTGCTGATGGGCTCTTTCATGCTGAGCGTCATTTCGCGGGTGACAGTTTCTTGAACTTTGACGTTGGATTTGATGCCCGTGACCTGGGTGTTGTACTTGATAGCGTTCGGCTTTTTGATTTGATCCCGCATCTTTTCTGCGATTTTCTGCGCGCCACCGTCGACACACCACCAGTTTTCTCCATCTTGTGTGTTGAAGTCCAGGGCCTCGAGCACAGCCTCCGTCAAAGACTGGTCGTACCATCCTGTCCCGCTGTAGAAAACACGTTTAGAATCTCTTTAGCGGATCGGGGTTCAACTTCCTTACTATGTAGCTGTTTCCATCCACTGGACCGTATTGTAGCTGTATCCTGGCCCATCTGGAATATCCCCTGGGTTTTTAACTCTACAAATCTGTCAGAAAATACTTTTTTACCGTTACGGAACTCACTAGCGAGCACTTACGAAAGGAGAAACTGGCGGGTGCTCATCTGGTCCGAAAGCCTCAGCATGTTCCAGAATTTCTCTTCCTCTTCAGGAGTTGGTGGCTTTCCCTTCTTGCGATCATCTAAACCCCTCTTGACCGCCTGGAGATACTTATCAATGGCTCTCTCGAACAAACAGTCGGGGCTCTCCTGCAATATGCTGAAAAATAGGTATGAGTGCTGTTACAGTATGTGATAGAGCTAGTATGACTTACTGTGCAGGAATTTGATCACATTTCGGTATTCCCTCATTAAGACGCCATGGGTCAGGGTTATAGGGCCCATATGGATTGCCTACATGGCGAACGTCATTGAAATATGACGGACAGACGCCCTTATCGTCTTTGAGATAGTAAGGCACGAGGACAGGATCATCCTTTGCGCTTTTCCTGTCGCCAAGTTTCCCTTTCTCAATGCCCAAAAGCTTGAATAGTTGAAAGGTTCTAGGAAGAACATGATTAGTTCACATTGAAACAGCTAAAGAAGCAGAAGAAAAGACCGCCATACCTAGTCATCACGTCGTTTTCCGGGAAACGCATAGCTCCAACGTCGTAATAATCGTGAACGCCATGTGGGTAGAAGCTGTGAGTATACAACCTGCCTCCGAAACGATCCTCACCGGCCGCCTCCAGAATGTCATAATCAATCTTGATGTTGCCCTCGGGAGAGTCTTTTCCGAGCTGTTCGTTAATCCAGTCAAATAGCATGGCCGTGAAGAGCCCAGCGACGCCGCTGCCGACAATGCTCACTTTGAAATGGCCATGCGTCTCCGGAATGAGGCCGCCTCCACTTGCAATCTCAGTGATCTTGGCAAGCGCAGCAACTGTGTCGATAGGTACACCGGAAGGAAATTCGGTCTTAAATCTTCCATCGCTCATGGCTTTGGATATTCTTGCGCCTGCAACCTCGAGGTCTCTCTGCAACTTGTGACGGGCGACGTATCGAGCCCACTGAGCTTTGTAAGAGTCATGATAGGGATTGGGCTCAACGGGCCGTGCGCAGTCGCCTGGCAAAGGTTCGTTTGGGGTCATCTTGCAGTGGTTAAAACTGGCGTGGTTAATCAATTATATCGTAACAATGTGATTGTAAGTTTCTTCCTCGAAGTGAGATGGAAATCTTTGTAGGGAATTATGTTGAGGCACAGGAACTCGTTTCCTTTTATCATCATCCGCTTATAACAGTTGATTATGACTTCTGTTCTGATTCCTCTTCAGTCCAAGCTGAGCCATAGACCATTTTCGCACTTAGGCCGCTTAGTGGAACTACAGCGTATTGTCTCACTTCTCAGCTTCCCACGAAGAGTAGAAAACACGTCTCAACTGATCATAAATTGTTTGCATTCACTTGGTTCTGAATCATTTCTCGGCTCATTATCTGTATCTGACAACTTTAGCAGCCTTTAGCTCTCAATGACAGCGCATGCGTCGATACTACGTGTAGGTTGGCTGAAAATCAGGCCATCACTTCTGAGAAGTATGGGTAGCCAAATGTACTAACCGAAACCAGAACAAGACGGACATGATGGCTAAGCTGAACGACATCAGCTCCGTTATTACATTCCGCAATCAGAGAAGCTACACCATATGTAGCAACGGCAGTTAGGTGCTATTGGTACGCGTCTATAACGTGGTTGAAGGTTAGTCTAGTCAAAAGTCTCACGCTATTCGGTCGAAACTATTTTACTTACCAACAACTTCATGGACCCCAAGGAGGCACCTCCACCGCGAATCGAGCATGGTTGCTTTAGAACGTTAGATAGGTTGTAAAGAATGAGCGGAAGAACGGGAGATCTGATGATTTCGACTTACTCAGCGTTCTTAACAGCTTTGTTCGGGTCTTCTCGAGCGAATTGTTTACAGTAATCGACATCGTAACCGTAATCAATTGCGCCCAGGACATCCCTGAAATGAGCTGCCTCGTGTATTATAGTGCTGAAAGTTTATAAGAAACAGTGAATGTGAAATTTGGTGAGATCATGATCTTACTCCCATTGTGAACGATGCCGGCCTGTGGGTGGGAGCAGTGCTTCGTTGAAGTAGACACTACAGATCTTGACGTCCCCGTACCGGCCACCAATAGTGGCGAAGACAACATTGCTGGTGCATGCGCAGTCGTAAGAGAATGTCGTGGCGATATCGGGTGCAATTTTCTGAGCAAGCAGCCTTAGCAATCGCGGTTACGCCGAAGTCTCTCATGTAGATAAGTACCTTGAAAGCAGTCAAAACCCGATTGTATCTCTCGGTGCTAAAAGCACCATACCAGGTTGTTTGAATATCGCTTCCGTTTGGATTTGCTTCTAGATGTTCTATGGCAGCGTATGACTTGTTGGTCGCTCTTTCAATAGCTGCTTCAAGGGTGGCTATCTGGGAATCAGAACACGATGTAAATGTAGCAGCCCAGCCTCCAGACAGGAGGGAGAGTAAACTACACAACTTGAGAATCCGCATGTCGACTCAATTTACTTGGCGAACATAAGGAAGTGCACATTCAAGCAGTAAATTACTGTCCGATTTCGTGGAAGCCTTTGAGTAAACACCCTTTATAGGGCAATTTTGGCTTCTTACGCCATTCTTAAGCAAGTACAGGAGGGCTTCATTACAACTGCCGTTCTTAGGAACTTCTCCGTGTAGAGGCCCATTTGGCGAAAATGGCGTTGTGCAGAAAAAGATCGTATTCGATAGAGGAGGTTGGGCTATTGCATGGTCATGCATAGGCGAGATCAATTGCATCGAAATCTAGCTGTGGGCATACTAAACAGCACTAGACCCTAGGCACTGTGGTTCTAGTCGCTAATCTTTGGTTACCAGATTCCTGTTCTTGACTCGCCTAACACCCACTTGTTAAGGGACCCTGCCAATAAGTCGGATCCTACCGCAGCGTTATAGGTGACGAGAACTGCAGCCAAGATAGCATGACAGTGCTTTAATGGTTATTTAGCGGAAATGAAGTCCTTGGTAGGAAGGTGCACACGCTAAACTCCGAATCGGCCGTGTGGGCTCCGTCACGATAATGCCGAGTTCAGATGTCATCATCCATAGATGTCAATGCCGTCGAGTCCAAATAAACGCCGTGGCGGCTGATGTGGCTTGAATTGCATGGCCAATGGAATTAAACCCTTTACTTTCTCAAAGTGATTGGCCAGTTGTTCTTGTTCTTTTTGAGATACTGCGACAAGTGGTTGAACGAACATACTTTCAGGCTCTTGTTTATGTGATACTCATAATTCAGTCTTCGGAAAAAGTCGCTGCCAAAGGACGATGTATCCATCTGTTTTTGATGCTGAAGACTTAAACAAGGAGGAGAATACCTATATATCATCCATGATATTTGTGTATACTTGCTGAATGCGTGTTTCTAAGTTGTATGATCAATGACTACTAACAGTATGCTAATTCTTTTCCACGGATCATTATTAGGTTGAACGTATGGGTAAAAACCCTTGAACTGCTGTCAATATTTATTCAAATGGGAGTAAAAAGCCCAAGAACCTGGATCTGATACCGTACTGAGGGCCATTCTTTTGCTAGAACTTGAGATTCTCCACCTATGCCCCTTGAATCATCAAAGCAGAACTCGGTCCGCCAACCTGCCACGAGCACGGCCTAACCCTGCCAACGACCCCGCCCCCCTCAATAAGCCTCAGACTCAATTGGCCGGATCTACCTGTTTAACACCTCCCTAAGTAATTAAGCTCACACCATTATCTTTATTCCAACCAATCTCGACATCGGCAAGACTGAGCGTTTGGATGATCTGCGCCAGCGGGCAACCCTGTAGAGTCGTAGCTGTGCCGTATTTGGGAATATCCACCAATCCGGGCGATGTCCGGAGCCACTCTTGAAGTGTCATTTACATCGAACAGAGGCATTGTGCAACCAACTGCAACGATGAACACAGGCGCCAAGACATTTTCAATCTTAACAAACCCAGACAGGTGGATTCTTTGTCTGAGTGGAATCGATGCCAGCAACCTGAAATCGACCTTTGAACTGGGATCAGATGAGCAAGGAATGGCAGTTGTAACGTGCCATGACACCACGGCGAAGTCAGCCAACCAAGAGAAATCAAAAGCCTGCCAAGAAGGTGTATAAGAGTCCTTGTCCCATCCAGTACTGATATCGGTCATCTGTTCCGCAGAGCTGGGCTTTTGTTTATACCTTTTCGTTTCTCATCTTCACCCAACACAATGAAGGTCACTTCCGCAACTGTTCTCTCAGCGCTGGCCGCCACAGTTTCGGCACACGGATTCGTCCAGCAAATCTGGCTCGGCGAGGACCTCGTCGACACATGGAATCCTTACAAGGATCCTTCGAAGAAGGTCAACAAGATCACCCGCAAGTTCAAGGACAACGGGCCGGTTACTGATGGACTCTTCGAAGTAAGTTTTGCTATTCCAAAATGCCCAACTGTCGCCGACTACATGTTAACCATTGACTCAACAGACCGACGCAATCACTTGCAACATCGGCAAGGACAAGAACAATGAGCCTGCTACGGAGACCGCCAACGTTGCTGCCGGTAGCACCGTCAAGTTCATGTGGACTGAATGGAAAAGCGACCATCCCGGTCCCAGTAAGATTTGACCCGCCTCTAGTCTCGAAAACAACATGCTCATGCATTGGCAGTTCTGACCTACCTTGCCGACTGTGGAGGCAAGTGTAGCGATTTTGATGGCAGCAAGGGCAACGTCTGGGTCAAGATTGATCAGTCTGGTTACGACGCCAAAGAGGCCATCCCTTGGGCAAGCAAGAGGCTTCCCGAGAACAACAGCACCTACACCGTCAAGCTACCCTCCAAGATAGCTCCCGGAGAGTACATTCTGAGGTTTGTTTGCCCATGGCTTGAGATTTTACGTTCCTGTATTAACCTAATTGGCGACAGACATGAAATCCTTGGCTTGCAACGTACCAACAAAGACGGCAAGCTGGCTCAGTTTTACCCTGGTTGCCATCAAGTCACTGTCACCGGCAGCGGAACCACCAAGCTTCCCGAGGGTATTGCTCTCCCTGGAGCCTACAAGGCCGACGACACCAAGTCGGTAAGTTTGTCTATCATAACATGTGATGCGGGGATTCGCTAACGTTGCCAGATTTTCCTTGACTATCGCAAGGTCACTGAGTACACTCCTCCTGGAGGCCCTGTTTGGGGTGATGATGGCTGGGCTAAATAAGCTTTGAAAGACCGTTTCACCTTTTCCATTCTTCACCTGCACATACTTGGCGGTAAGCCATCGTGTAAATACAACCTTGTGTTTATTGAACATATTTTACATACAGAATAAGAATAGTACATACCTCTATCAATTTCAAGGACTAGTCCACAAAAGAGTCCACGTAATTCTATGCGAGCTTGGACTCTGAGCTCTTTGGAAAGAATCAAAACAGACAGGAATGATTTGGTGCTATAGCTTTGAGTGTGATGCCTGTTGTGAGACGAAATCTTTCAACAGGGATAGCATCAGACAGAGCAACATTCATGATTGAACGTTACCAGGTTAAATCCCACTTCACTGAAAATTAAGCTTACTTACCGGCTGGGCTGAAGACAGCTTCGGCCCCGCGATTACCGTGCACATTTTCCTCACCATTAGCTTCCAGGTCAACTACTCTTCCTCTACTCCATCGTGGCGGATTTTACAATGGGCAAGAAGACCATTCATTACCACTCTGCTTTATTATGGCATCGAGTCCCTGTGACAGCCTGTCAGCCATGGTCTACGTCGCTGACGGTGTTTGGTGAGCTGAGCACAATGTACTTCAAATTTGTGCGCTGAAATTGGGGCTACGAAGCTTGTTGAGGCTAAATCACAACTGATAAGGCATGGATTTTGTTTGTTATTCTTCGTATCTGCAATCTTACCCTGCGTATATACCTTTCGGGATGAAAATTGAAAATAAAATGACAACTAAGACATGTATCCCAAATGTTTCTTCTGAGTTAAAAGCCATTTTGTCTCTCCGTATTAGTATGCGTAAAAGTTTGTCGCTTCCTCCTGCGCAGTTCTGATCTTCCGATTCATCCGTATCAGGATAAATTTCATCGCCCATGCTGTCATGACAACACCCATCGAGAAGGCGATGCTCGCAATCATCGCTCTCCGAAACAATGGACTGTCACTATCGGGCCAAAGGTACGGAGTGTAAACGAATGACAAGTTGCCAAGGGTGTTAACCAGGGCTATAGCGGCTGCCTTCTTTTCATCTGTTTGGCCGACAGTGGCAGCAGTCCAAGCAACATTGATGTTGTTCACACCGTAGGTGGCTCCGACGAACAGAACCATGGCAAAGTAACGCGCACCAATATTCATTGTGCTGGTGGCAACTGCGAATCCGATGCTGGCTACTGTTTTTGAGGCTGTTATATGCCATGTTCGCTCGTTGAACCGACCAGAAGACCAAGACACCAACACGGAAGCAACACCGGCCACCAGATACGGCGGGCATGTCAGAACCAAAGTGATGGTGGTGTTGAAGCCAAGGGATTGAACAGCTGTTGGCATGTAATTCTTGAAGCCGTTGGCCGACAAATGAAGGTTCCCCATGAGGGCAAAAACCCAGGTGCGGTGGTCAGATGCTGCCTCCCATAAGCCGGCCCAAGTACTGGTAGCCTGGCGCTTCTCTGTTGTGTCTCTTGCAACACGATCGTGTGCTAGCTGGCGTTGCTCTGGTGTGAGCCATATAGTCTCAAGAGGCGCATTAGGAAGCATGAAGAATGCTACAACGGCAATTCCCACTGAAAGTGATGTTAGTTGGTTGATGCTGTAGGTTGAGGCCAAGAACATACCGGTGACTACGCCCTGAATTAAGAAGAGCCATCTCCAACCAGCAAGGCCATGCTTTCCATCCAAGCCAGCAAACACTCCAGCTGCAATCAAGCCTGAGAAAGCGCTGGCTAGGAGATTGCCCGTATAGAATACCGCTAACCTAGTTGCGGTTTCTTTCCGCGTGTAGAAAAGACTGACCATATAGCAGGCACCCGAGTAAAAAGGGGCCTCTGTGATACCTAGGATCAACCTTGAGCCAAAAGTTGTTAGCGAACCTAGTTATTAGAACCAAGAATTTGGTTGATGTTTGCAAAGGTCTCACCTGCAAGCAAGCATCCCATGATAGTCCTTGACAATGCAAATGAGTGTTGATACAATAGCCCAAGCCATCATCCACCCGGACATGTACCAAGCCGGCTTCACACGGGTTACCAACATGTTTGATGGAATTTGGCCGGTGATATATCTGCAGCACCCCATCAGCACTCCGTACTAGGTCTATTCCAACTGAATTGACTTGGAGAGTAAGAAACTATGGCATACCCGACGAAGAAGATGCTGACGCAAGTGTTGTATTGAGAGCCAACCATATCCAGATCTTTGTCAAGATGATTAAGCTTACCATTGACAATCGCGTTGCGGTCGAGGAAGTTCTTGAATACGTCAGCTAACGGCTAGGTATGCCATGGATCCTGCTCACCAGAAAGTACATTATCCAGAGAATTGGCTGTTGGGTATGAGAAGGTTAGTGCCGCTGTGATTATCAATACTGTAGACGATGGATAACTTACCATGAGATACATGTCAAGCTTCTTCACAAGGGCGATCTCCTTAGGGTCAACTTTTGCCATAGACCCAAACTTATCACGCTGCGGTCCAGTGTTGCTGTTTTTGAGATCATTTCTATAGTCGACGTGATCGATAGTGCAGGCTTCTTGGTCTTTGACCGGGTCGGCATCGGACTGGTGTTGGCGGACGGCCATGATGTAATTTCACAGTTAAACGTTGATTGAGGGAAACAAACGGAATGAATAGAACTGGATCTCAGATTCAATATGAAAGTAGAGTCAACAATCGCCTTTTAAGTCAGTCCAACAGCGCTCGCTGATCATGGCGCTTAAAGATGGCCGGATATCACCCATGCTTCATCACTGTGAATGGACGTACACGGAACTGCTCATCCTAGCCGTAGTTGTATCATCTTCCAATCATGGCTCAGTGAATAAGCAAACAACCAAATTGTTGTTATATAGGTATGCAATTACGTTCCTGCTAGGAAACTGCTGCGGGTATCGAGAACATCCAAATCTGGGGTACATCTGTAGCATCTTGGCTCCCCACGGGGTAGACGGGACTCATCGCTAGGTCCACAAGCGAATCCGTGATCGCGGGGTAAATGCAACGGCGACACGGTAGTAACGCACTTTGGCCCATCTGCAGCCGCCGGTGGGATACCGTCTACAACCGAAGCACGAATCCGCCTTGCTTATCCACTACGTCTTTCGTGGTTGTTTCTTTCCGCATAGAAATGAAAACAGGACCCCTTGCAAAGCTGGGCAATCCGCTCCGTCCTTTTCCATCTCACTACTGTTAAACTTGTGACCAACTCCGAGTAACCAAGATCTCGTCCAGAGTGATGTGATCGGACTGTGTTCGTACGGAACAATTCGATTCTGTTATCCGCCCACTTCTTCTATGCGGGGAAGTCAGCCAGTGAAGATCCGAAGTGCCGTTTTGTCGCCTGTGATTGGTGAGATAACGGTTTGCTCATCCGTACGTTACAACATCTTGCAACAAATACAACGGCCATTTCCCTTCCTAAACCATTCTAACCAAGCCGTCCGTGAGTGAGACCCCACCTATAACCGTCCAGTTGACACAAATGTTGTTCCGTAGCTCTTGTCTGTTTGACTGAAGCTACTTGGCCTGTTGAGGGGGCAGATTAGCCATGGCATGAGGCCGGCAAGAGACGCTTCAAGCCGATGGCAGAGACGAGGAAAAGGACACATGCGGGGTTCGTTCCGGGCCCGAAAGCCGGTGCCAAGCATGCCCTTGTATGCGGCGGTCACGGAATTGCCACGGAAACGTTGCGCTGATCAGATGCTGGCCTGACTGCATAAATTGAACGCCGCAGCATCTCTCACAGACTTGGAATGAGACCATTCATCTGCACTCAAGAAGTATTTCACAATGTATACCCAAACAACGACGGCGATGTCGTCGTCGACGCTCACAGTATCAGAGCTCGACCGTCCCATCTATACTATCGATGAGCTCATCAAAAGACGTGCTCTAGAGTTAGGCGACACTCCCCTGATTGGGTATCCCAAAGAAGGGCTGCTTGATTTTGAAGAACATAGCGCTGCTGCGATAGACAGATACGTCGATGCTGCAGTGCAGAAGCTGCAAGACATTGGGCTCTCCTCAGTTGTAAGCCTGGTTATGAATTACAATGTTGCTGTCGCACTTGCTTAATTACCGTACTTAGGATCCATCGCTGGACAAGCCTCCTGTGATTGGAATACTTGCACAATCCGGCCTCCATGTCGTTATTACCATTATGGCTCTTAGCCGTCTAGGCTATGCTGTCTTTTTGGTCTCAACACGGCTCGCAAGCCCATCAATTACCCGCCTCTGCGAACTAGCTGACTGCGCTGCCATGCTTACAACCCCAAACTTCCATCCGGTTTTATCAGAGGTTCAGCAACAACGGAGACTCGATGTGCTACCCTTGCTTTCGCACTCGGATTACTATGGCAAAGATGCCCCCAAGTTCTCCCGAACTTATGATCGGGAGAAGGAGAACAAAAAAATTGCGGCAATCATTCACTCCTCCGGGTCGACGGGCTTCCCGAAGCCGATTTACCTCACGCATAAAAGCTGCATCGGAGCATTCTCGACCAACATAGGCATGCGAGCTTTCATCGTGTCTCCGCTGTTTCATAGCCATGGCTTCTACGAGACATTCAGGTCCATATATTCCAAGAAGCCAATTTACCTTGGCAACTACACCATCCCTTTAACAAGTCAAAATCTCATTAAGATGCTTGACTACGTGAAACCAGAGCTGTTCCACGTTGTCCCATACGTGTTGAAGCTTCTTGCAGAGACAGATGATGGTATCCGCGCTCTTGCGAACGTGAAACTAGTACTATTTGGTGGAAGTAGTTGCCCAGATGATCTGGGAGACCATCTCGTGAACAAGGGGGTATATCTTGTGGGGAACTATGGCTGGTAGGTTGTCTCGATTTGTTGGAAACGGCGAGTACTCATTTTGCTAACAATCGGTGTAGCACTGAGATAGGCAGAGTCATGAACTCTGTTCGTCCCGCGGGCGACAAGGCATGGAACTATCTGCGCCCCCTCCCCGTTGCAAAGCCATACGTTGTCATGGACGAGATCTCTCCAGGTATATTCGAGTGTGTCTGCCTTGACGGCTACCCAGCAAAGAGTACCTCAAATTGTAATGACCCGCCTGGGTCTTTCCGCACACGAGACCTATTCAGACGCCATCCTACGGAACCTGACTGGTGGAGGTATGTTAGCAGACTGGATGACAGGTTCACTCTCATCAACGGCGAAAAGGTTTTGCCTATTCCCATTGAGGGCCGCATCCGCCAGGAGCAGATTGTCAAGGAGGCAATTGTCTTCGGTGAGCAGAAAGATTACCCCGGCGTGCTAATTGTCAAGGCCGACAATGCTGCGCACTTGTCTGATGCGCAGTTTGTCGAGGAAATCTGGCCGGCGGTTGAGGCTGCCAACGCCCAAGCAGAATCATTCTCTCGGATTCCTAAAGAGCTTATCGTTGTCCTTCCATCCGACGCTGAGTATCCTAAAACGGATAAGGGAACGTTCATCCGAGTGCCATTCTATCAGAAGTTTGAGAAGTTGATCCAGGCCGCCTATGAGCGCTACGAAAATGAAAGTAACACATGCGGATCGCTTTCACTCGAAGCCGAAGCCCTCGAAGCTTGGCTTCTAGAGCAGCTCAACGGAAAATCAGAGAATGCTTTGCGTTCGGTGGAGTCAGATTTCTTTGCGTCTGGCATTGACAGTCTCATTTGCATCCAGATGTGGAGCTTGATTAAAAGGCGAATCGACCTCGGCGGACGACAGGGTCAATTGGGCCAGAACATTCTTTATGAAACTGGAAACATCAAGGCGCTTTCCCGTCATCTCGAGGCACTTAGGAATGGAAGGGAAGATATCTCAAAGGATGAGCTTGAGAAGATGGAGGAGTTGATCGCCAAGTACTCCTCATTCAAAAAGCATGTTGCTGGAGCAGCCTCCAAGCCCGAAAATGAGGTTGTTGTGAGTTGGTTTAGTCAAGTTTTTATACTGAGAAAATTGCTAACACTTTCAATAGCTAGTAACTGGTGTCACTGGTGGACTTGGTGCCCACATTCTAGCTCAACTAACCTCCCTCCCACACATCTCGGAAGTTTGGGCCGCCGTCCGCGCAGCCAACGATACAGCCGCCAGGACTCGCATCACAGCATCACTCTCCTCCCGTGGTATCTACCTCACGCCATCACAGCAAGCCAAGGTCGTGCCGCTAGCAACTGACCTCGGCCTTTCAGACTTTGGCCTCGGTACCTCACGGCTGTCAGAGCTCAAATCCAAGTTGACGATGGTGATTCACAGCGCCTGGGCTGTCAACTTCAACATCCCCGTGCAGAGCTTCGAGGACCAGCACATCAAGGCGGTCTACAGCCTCATTCAGCTCTGTCAGTCTGTCGAGACGCCCGCTCCGGCTCGCTTCTTCTTCTGCTCCTCGGTCTCAGCAGCGGGTGGGACGCCTCGGCCAGGCATTGTAAAAGAAGGCCCCGTACCAACACCGCGCAACGCTCAAGGGACAGGATATGCTAGGTCTAAATATGTGTCTGAGCATATCACTCGAAATGCAAACCTAACTGTCGGTGCTTCCGCGAGGGTTCTGAGAATCGGGCAGCTGGTTGGAGACAGTAAAGTTGGGGAGTGGAACACGACGGAGGGTGTCCCGTTGATGATTCAGACGGCTGTTACATTGGGTGCTTTGCCGACTCTGGATGAGGTGAGTCGCACGCATGCATTATTCTTCGTTTTATTGACTAATCCCGTGGCAGGAAATGACTTGGCTTCCCGTCGATCTTGCCGCTACAACTATTCTGGAGATGACCAATGCCAATAGGAGCAGGCCGGCGGAACAAGTTAGCGAACGAGACTCTGACGCAGATTTGGTGTACCATGTCCTTAACCCAATCCGCTTTCATTGGACCCAGCAAATGCTCCCTTCACTCTCGAAAGCCGGCCTCCGGTTTGAGGCACTTCCAACAGACCAGTGGATGGAAAAGCTGCGCAATTCGGAAAGAGATCCGGAAAAGAATCCGCCCATCAAGCTATTGGGTTGGTTTGAGAGCAAATATGGCCACGGCGCTAGCTCTGCGGGTAAAGGTGGCCTGGAGTACTTGACGGGGGAGAGCATGAAGGACAGCCCAACGTTGAGAAACTTACCGGATGTAACGGACGTGTTGTTTGTGCGGCTAATGATTGAGAGGTTGAAAGCGCGTTGGAAGGCTGGGGTGTAATGTGCAAAGCTAGTTGATGAAACAATTGTAATGTATTCGAGCTTGTCTAGAAATCTTTGTCGACACAATTCGGTTCAACGAGCAGCTGAAACTGTGAAGTCGTATGCAGCGTCTAACCTCGGATTTTTATATTGAAGTAGGTAGGTCACATATTACAAATCACACAATGTTACAAAAAGTTTGAAAACCGCACCAACAAATCTGTAATTTGATGCTAGTAATAGTATGCGCTGCGGAAGCACTGGTGCGACCCTGCAGCAGAAGAACGTCGAAGTAGACCGGCCAGCAATGCATGCATGCTACCGTGAAGTCCTAAGCTCGCCCAAAGGCCACTGCCGCCGAAAAGAATGTCTAAAAAGGCTCGTCGCCCATCTAATAACAAATGCACGCCGTGCCAGTATCCGCGTCCGTGTCCCAAATGAAGATGATTGTGTAACCCGAACGCCAGCCGATGTAACCCATATATATGTACAGCTCGTTTATCCCAATTTTTCAAATCATTGCAGCAGCGAAGGCGGCGGCACCGACCATTCCAAGGCTGTATTCCCGGCGACCGGCAGCGTTGGGTTGCGATGTAGCGGTAGCGGCAGTGCTGCCAGTTGCGGTGCCGAGCGCGCCGGTAACAAGGTTCGAGGCGGATGCGATGGCAGAGGGGTTCGGGTTGTTCTGGACATTCTCGCAGATTTCAGGCGCGATCCTCGCGGCGGCTGTACGAAAGTTAGAGGTCAGTCATCATGCTGTGTATATAAGACTGGAAGAATAAGTGAATACGTACTTGCAATGTCATCGGTGGAGCATCCGGCCGTCAGGACACAGGGCGTCAAGGTCGAGATCAGCCTCTCTTGGTTGGTGCACAAGCAAGAAAAGTCCGTGGCAGAACAGCCGATGGTCTTGGCGGCGCTGTTGAGGCAGCTCACAGCACAGGTCGGAAGCTGGCTGACGAGACCGGGGAGATCGGTCGAGCCGGAGGAGGCAGCGGAGGTGGTGGCAGATTGGGCAGCGGCAAGGCCGAAGAAGAAGCCGAGGGCAACGGTGTACTTCATTTTGGGCGTTGGATGGGAGGTTTTCGACTAGTCAAGGTGTATCGTGAAGTTCGAATCGTGAATCAACAAGATCTTTGAGATATGTCTTGCTCAGTGCGTGATCAACGGTTTATTTTGAGTGTTTCGTTGAAGTTTGGATTTACGACAGTGATGAGTGGTTATGTGACAGCTCCCTTCACTGAGATGACAAGATGGAAAAGTCTAGATGGAAATGAAGAGCAATTAGAGGCCCTGCAGGAGAAACAAGGTAAAAAGTGGTGCTTGCGGGTATCAATCTCACATCAATCGAGGGGTGAAGAAAACAAGCACCTGGAGAAGGAAGAAGGGCCTGTGGATATAATAAAGCAGAAACGAGGAAGCCAACGCCAGTGATAATCGATGAATAAGATCCCAGAAAGCGGCGCTCGGGAAGGAAAATACGAGACGTGGTGGTTCCTTCAGGGGGCAAACCGAGCCAAGGATCCATGAGCTTGCAAATACGACTGCCCAGCAGTTTACTGCCAAATGGTCGCTGAGGTTGTGAGATCAGCAGCTCCAGCTCCGGTTTTCTTTTTTTCCTAATGGTTGACACTGCCTCGATGCCGCGCGGTCTATCCTTGGCATCGTCCAGAACCACTTGGGTAGCAGTTGGCCAATCTCTCTTGATTATTCATAGGTGTGAATGGCGATGAAGTTACAGGTTGAGCACATGGTCATGCAACTGGCGCTAGTGTTCAGCTACAGTGGATGAAGGTTCTGAGTATGAACCTTGGTTTATGCAGTCAACATTAACGGCCAACGCGAACGGTGTGTTTGCAGCCCTCGTTTGTCAAAGTCCAGACGCATTTGGCTCTGCACATGCCGCGCTGTTCGGATGAGGCTCCGTGGGATGGGATGGCACATCATCCATCAGTCACTGATTCTAGACTCGCCATCGAACTTGACCAGCCGGAAGTTGTGGAAAAGGGGTCCGTTTGGCGTGCACATCCTGTATCCTCGACGGCTGATGTCATGTCTATTTTAGTGGCTTGCCCCCTGACGCAGACCCGCTGAGCCGCCCTTGGCAAGGATGTTTGAGATGGCGAGTAATCTCCAGTCTCCCAATCTTCAATCACTCAGCTGTGACAATGGCAATGGGCGCTGTTTTGCGTTTTGCTAAGAGTGGCTTAGTGATTGGCGATAGAAACGGGCCAATCATCGCCACAAACCCAGTTGAAGATTCCGATATGTCGGATTCGCTATACAGTCACTGTTCCCTTCAAGCCATAAGCATACCCTGACCAGGGGCTCGGTATCGGATGGCTGAATGCTTCAGATCTCTCGCAGGCCGGTGTTTTCATCCCTCCTTCCAAGTTCTTACGTAGGACTCTGTTTGAAAAATGTCGGTACTTGGTAGCACTCCTGTAACTACCATGTGGTGGCTGCATGAATGATCTTCACGCCAACTGAATCACTTAGCCGTCCGCTCTGAAGCTCGAGCCAAGCCGGTCCGGGTTTTCGAAGGCTTAGCAGGAGCTTGGGACCACAGATGAAAACAAGCTCGACCAGTGAAGACGGTTGCCTGGGCTGAAGGCATTTCATCACACTGCGAAGGTTGCCTGTGCGGTGACTTCAGGTGAAGCTAATGAGCGCATGGTGAGTGTATCCTCCTGGGCTGACTCACCATCTGGTTATACGAGAAACAAATGCCTCAAGTATGCCTCGTGAAAATGGAGAGGGTTAAGATTCGATGCGACACGAAGGCATAAAAGCAGAGCAGATCAAAAAAAAAAAAAAAAAAAAAAAAAAGAGGTAGAGAGGGCAGACACAGCTACCCTGAAGAATATGGTCATAGTCGCAGTCTTTGTTTTATTTACTATGTATTTTAAAGTGAAGACGCCGCTCATATAATGGCCGCGTCGGCAAAAATGAGAGCACGCCGACGGCCAAAGTCCACAGTCTCCGAGCCTTTCGGCGCCTATTCCCGCTAGACGTTCCACTTCGGCGAACCTTCCGTGATGTACACGGCACCGAATGATGGGCTTCCGGCCGGGAGGCATAAAGGCGACTTACAAATTCTACCGTAAAAGTCAGATTATAAATTTTGAACAAATTTCAGGCCAAGTTTGAATATTTTCACAGCACATTTGATTTTCTCTTGACTTTATGGGAAGCAGGCCGAATATCTCAACAATGACTGCAACACAGGTGCACAGCAACGGCACGAAGCCAAACCAGGAACTCATCTGGGAAAAGGTCCAACTTACCATTGACAACACCAATCTCTCAATCTCTACGGTACATCGAGAAGGCCCCGCAGATCCTATTCTCTTTCTCCATGGCTTCGGTAGCACAAAAGAAGACTATACCGATATCAACCTTCATCCTTCTCTCTCGAAGTATCCGGTAATCGCCTACGACACCCCCGGGAGCGGTTCTTCCACAACATCTGACTTTTCCTCTCTTTCTATGCCCTTTCTCGTTGCTGTCGCCGAAGCAGTTCTTGCACACTACGGTGTGAAGAGATACCATTTAGTCGGTCACTCCATGGGCGGCCTCACAGCACTCCTTCTCGCCCAACGAAACCCCGGTTCCGTATTGAGCTTCACCAACATCAAAGGCAATCTCGCACCGGAGGACTGCTTCCTCAGCAGACAGATCCTCGAATTTCCTTCCAACGACCCAGAGACCTTTGTAGAGGAATTCATCGAGCGTACACGCCATTCAGCGTTTTTCGGTAACGGCGTCTATGCCGCTGCCTTCAAGGCCAAGGTAAAGCCTGGGGCAGTGCGTCCTACTTTTGAGAGTATGGTTCACTATTCGGATAATGGAAAGCTCTTGGATATTTTTGAAGGTTTTCCGTTTCCCAGGATGTTCATGTTCGGGTTACAGCACGCTACGCTGTCCTACCTTCCGAGAATCGCAAAAGCAGGGGTTGAATTGGCCGAGATCCCGAAGAGCGGGCATTTTGTCATGTATACCAACCCGGTGGCTATGTGGGAGAGGATCGAAGATTTCTTAAGTCGGATTCCAGTTACGCCGTAAAATACCTAGGAAGCATAACGGGATAACCTTGGTGCTACGTTCAATAGACAATTCGCGGTTGTGCGCGAAAAGCGGTCAGCATTAGCAGATCCGCCCCGGGCCCCGCCTCCGTGGTCTGTTCGCCGGCGTGGGGCCCAACCCACGCTTACTTCCGGGCATAGCCCGTTACAGGTTGTAATAGTCAACAAGTAAGAACAATTCAACTAAAAAGTTTTGCATTCTTAAACTTTTTCTACTAAAACATATGCTTCATGTCTTCTCAAAAATGCTCACCAATTTTACGCAGGAGGATCTTACTTTATGTGACACAGCAAAATCTCAGTTATCTAACACCGTTCCACGCAACAATAAAAAGCACTCACGCTCTGCTCCTTTCATTAAGAATGTGACATAAGGAAAGTTGGAAGCAAAATTTTCAAAGAAAAAAAAAGAAGATTCATAGATTTCTACTGATAACGACAGGCAGTATAGACGTTCCCTCCTGTTTTCCAGATCATTCACATTTTCACATTATCTTCACTTCCTTAGGCAGCTTCTCTGCACCACTTTGACTTTCTAAGCCTCAGGGCCGCCTAGTAAATGGTTTAATCAACCTTGGAACATTAGTTGTCAGTCTTGTCAATAGTTCGAGATCGTTGGATGCCCCTATTCGTGATTTCCGGTTAAAACATAATCTACTAGAACAACCTAAGTGAGCACTTACACGAACTCCTCCTCAACCTCAGGATTTCTGATCATTCGCCTATGTGATCCCTTTTGTGTCACTTTTGTTTTCACTTTTGTTGTAGGGCGCTTGAGTTCCATAATTGGATCTCCGCCTCCTCGACCGCCACCGCCTCCCCCTCCACCCCCACGACCCCCACGACCTGGGTACATAGGGGTGTTGAGGGGTGGAAGCATCAGAGGCGGTGGAGCCATAGGTACTCCAAAAGCCGGGCCTCCCATCACACCACCCACTACCATGATTGTCATAGGGGGGCGATCAGGGCTCATGCAGTCACTGGCACACTCTTTAGGAATCCGTGGAGCTACAAGAACTGCTGGCGACAGCAACAGAAGGGTACACGGAAATACGAGCATTATTATGTGACGTCCGAGGTGAAGAGGTCCGTTGAGTGCGTTTGCTCAATGTATGTCAGTAGTGAATAATATAATGACGCAAATAAGTCGCAAAGAGTCTAACGAAGAGTTTATCGTAGACTGAGACGTCGGAATGCTCTCTACTTATACTGCTTAGGATCTGAACTTGGCGTATACTGGTATCAGAGAGAGAAATAATTATCCAAGACAAACAACTGCGGGGGCGCATTTTTGAGCCCTTTTTGAACCTAGAGCATTTCCATACTTTCATCTGCAAAAATAGCCAATCAGGAACTATTTCTACTGAAATTTTGTTTGATATCTAGGCCCTGTACGGTAAGAAGCTGCCGACACATAGGGTTATTTTTTCCCCTTACTGCGGGTAGCTCCTTTCCGTTTCGTAAAGCTAAAAAAGGAAAGTATATAGATAAAGTTAGGTAGTAAGTTTTTATATAAATTTACTGTTGAAAACAAAGAGTAAAGCTTGACTGGCAAAGACCCGGTAAGAAGCTGCCGACATATAGGGTTATTTTTACCCCTCACTACGGGTAGCTCCTATTAGTTTCGTAAAGCTAAAATAGGAAAGTATATAGATAAAGTGTAGGTTTCACAGGGGGTGAAACAGGGGGTGAAACGGAATTCCGTTCGTCAATAACAAATAACAGTAAATTGGTTCTAATCGATGGTTCATGATGATAGTTGAAAGTGGTGTTGTTGACTAGAAGGTGGGGATATTCCCCCTTGGCCTGTCACGTGGGTCTGGGAGGCTTGGGCCTCTCAGCCTGGCGGGCGTGTGGCTGGAAGTGCCACACGACTCCGTATTCCAACTATCGCAACACTGGAAACTCTCTTTTTATGGTGTTGAAGCGGTTGGAATACGTTGTCCCTATACAGTTTCGTCTCCTCGTCAATTCGGCCTCCTATCCCTACTTTCTCCCGTAGTTACGGTCTTGTTACCCATCCCTCCATACGTATCGTTATCGTGTTGCTATCAACGAATCTCTCGAGGGCTCGATTTGGTTTGCTCTTCGTGAGGGCATCAGCAGGGTTGTCTTCGCCGTTAATCCAACGAATTTCTTGTAGTTCTCGTCTTTCGTACGATTGTCTCAACGCCATGATATCGATCATGAGTCGCTTTTCTTTGGTAGTGCCCAGCTTCACGAGACACTCGTACAGCGAATAAGAATCGGTACAGACAACTGTCTGAATCGTTGGTAGGTTGAGGTGGTCAGTGATTGTCGCCAGGGTTGTGGCGAGGGCGTAGGCCATATCGACGCCAGCGACCATCCCGTAGATCTCTGACGCTAATACGCTGCGGGTGACTCGTTTACTCTTCGTAGAGCTGTAATGAACGAGGTTACCGTGAATCGTGAATTCTCCGTTGTTGCTGTCAGAGGAAGTGTCGTTGGCTAGGATGATCAGAAACCCTAATTGGGAGGAGAGGTCGTGGTTATTAGCGAACGACCCGTCAACGAAAACGAATAGCTTGGCTGTTGTAAGGTCGAGTGGGATAAACGTTATTCCTCGGTTAGGCGATTCCATTTGCCATCGAATCCGTTGATTCAGTGCTTTTATCGCTTCTGGCGAGGGGTCTTGGTGTTGGGCAGCAGTAGATAAATCGAAACAGGCCTCGGGTTGGCAAATTGACGCGATGTACGCCCCTCTGGCGCGTTGTTCGACATATTGCTGTTTTGGGTTGGGTTTAGTAGTCTCAATACATCGTAACTTCTTGGCTTGTCCCTTTTGCCTCAAATTGATCGAATTGTCGGTTGACAGCGCGACTATCCCTCCGTTGAATTGGAGGGGTTCGTCAATTGTGAGGATATTCTTCGCTTTTGCCGTAAAAGCCGCTTTTTCTAACTGTTCGTCTTCTAATTGTGAGAACGCCTTGTCTGACAAACCGAGGGTATCGTCGGTTTGCATGCCGATACAGCCAAAGTGTGGATTTTCGGTAGATGAGATCAATAGGCATGGATCGTACGAAGAAGTAACCATCTGGAGATTCTCTCTGTGATGCTTGTGATACGTTGCCCACCAGTGGGTTCCAGCTTCTGCGATTCCGTACAGAGGCTTCACAACCTCCATAATGGTCCCTTTTGGGTACTGGTCTTGAATTTGCTTCGGTGGGTAGGCGAGAATAGTACGATTGAGCCTTGTGGAGGATTGAACGTAGGCTTGTGTGATATCTCGAAGCCATAGTTGTTTCCCTTCTCGTAGGAGTGACGGGGTAATTGACAGAATTAGCCGTTGACTCGCCCGCTGAATCGTTGGCGATTGGGTCAATATAGCCTTCTTGCCATCGTCGGCGTAACCCTGTATTACAAGTCTCGATTTCTCGTAGGGTTCGGTTGTTTTACCCTTGACTTCGTTGACGATACGAGATCGGAAGATTCGTACGTTCTGGTGCCTTCTCTTATTGAACTGGGTGAATTTGAACACTCCTCTAGCGATGAGGCTGTTGATCTCTTGTTTAGTTGACTGTTCGAACGGTTCGCCTGGTGTAGTAATAACACCTTCTCGTCGTAGTTTGATTGCTAATTCTTCGTCTGCTTGCTCCTTAATCGATAGGAATATTTGTTGATAATCCGGGTCATCGTTGAATTCCTCTGTGAAGTGGGCGATTGGCAGTGGTCTCTTCCGGGGTCTGCCCGGGCGTCTTCTCGGTGGCTCCGGTGCCTCTTGCGGTTCGTCCGGTTCACTGCCTCAGCCGGCGACGATAATTTCGTCGCGTACTACTTCCTGCTGCGGTATCTCAGCTTCGGGTTCTTCTTCTTCTGGCGCGGCGATGGAATTAGGTGGTTGATCGGGATCTTCGTAGTATGGTTTGACTACGGTAGACCGGAAGGTCTTCGGACCACGTGGCGTATCGACAGTACAGGTTTCGCCGTTTATGGCTGCTAAAGTAAACGGTCCGGTCCAGCCCTTCTTTTCGCGCCATACTCGTACTTGCGACCGTAGCGGTAAATTAACAATTGGCCCTGTATCAGGGCCATTGCGGGTGGCGATAGCTTCTGCCACCTGTCGCCTTGCGTGAAGTTCGCGTACTTCGCTCGTCGCCTTCTTAATCGCTTTCGCCCGCCTTGTGACTTCGGGAGATGGCGGCGAATCGTCGGTAATTCGTGGGTACGAGCCGAATACCAAGAGTGTTGGCACTATTCCGTTCGGGCCAGCAGTATCGTTAACTGCTTTGACTGCTGTTTGAAGTGCTGATTCTGGCGTAATTGTTGGGTCTTCTGCTCTGATGATTTCGTACGCCCTCCTTAGAGGTGTATGGTATCGTTCAACTTTCCCAATACTGTTGTGGGCTTCTATGGGAATTTCCTTGATTTCAATTGCCATTCCTCTCGCCGCGTTTCGGAATTCTGTTGAGCGGAAGTTTGTTCCAGCGTCGGTAACTAGCCAGTCTGGGGGTCCCTGATACACATCTATCCAGCAGAGGCGTAGGGCTTCCCAAGTGGCTTTCGCAGAAATGTCCTCAAGGAACCGGGCGGCGTTGAACGCCGTGGCGGTATCGACGACGTGGAGGACCGGTCTGTTACCCTCAAGGTACATCACGTCGGCGATAACCTCGTAGTTGAATTCGTAATCGTCTCGTAACGTGAATTTGAACCGTGATGGCGCTGGTGCGTGCATTTGGCATCGATGGCAGACTTTCGATAGTTGCTCAATTGCCGTAATTTCAACTGGGTGGCCGGCCCTCTGGAGCACCTTGTGTAATCGTTGAACAGATGGGTGTCCGAAGCGACGGTGAACCCGTCGCAATTCAGCGTCTGTGAGGTGGTTCCAGGCGAGTGGTTTCTCCTTATCGAGTAATAACCATGGGTGGCCCCATTTGCGAATAATAGGTACGACCTTGTTTCCTTGGATGAGGGTATTCGTAACGTTGTTAAAGTAGACCTTCAATCGGTCCATATCTCCTA